TGTTTGTGTTAGCTGAATAAAGAACTTTTTCTCCTTTTTAATTGAACCATGTGGTTCCCTTTTAACTTCAGTGTCATCACTCAGTTGTAATTCCAGCATTGCACAAATTTGTTTCAAAAAGAAAGAAGTTCTGTTAGCTCACACTTTTGTTCCCAACATGACAAACTGCCATCAGAGGGTGGATGACTAAGGAGTGGCTGAATGCAGAGGTGTTGGGATGCCTGCTGCATTTCCTGTTTTCTTCACATGCCTAAAGGCATTTCTGTCAAAAATGCACATGAATTTGGGCATGGATTTTTCAGAGGAAAGACACTGCTTACTTGTCAGTGCCAAAACCTGGGACTTCTTCCTTTATGCCCATGTCCTTGGTAGCCCTTCTCTCAGGAACTCATCAACTTTGAGGTCAGATTTGGCCAGGTGTGCTGAGTGTTGTGTAGAACAAGCAGCCTTGCTGTTCCCACTTTCTGTTTGCAGAGGGCTCAGGGCTCTCAGATGCAGGTTAATTAATGAACTTACATACACCAGCACTAATAAGACAACATCAGGTGTATCAGGCAGTTTATTCCCTCCCAGGGTGGCTATCAGGCTGTCATAGCCTTGTAGACTGGTCACTTCAAAATTCCCATCTCCTGCTGGCCCATTGTGTTCTCTAAGTGACACTGGAGAGGTGGGAAGTTTCCTGTGTGCCCTGGGCGTCTTCAGAGCCATGTGATGCTCAAAGGATGCACTGCTGTTGCCATGGGAAGCACCTCACTCACCTCTCAGGCACGAGCTGGGCTTTCTTTATCTCTCCTCACATGCTTCCCACAGTACCTTTTATTCCAGAAGTGTGTTTGGATTCTAATCCGTGGAGGTTTGATTTTTTTCTTCTGGTTTAATATGTCTGTAAGCACAACTGTCTGTATTGGGTGAACAAGAGTGATAAAACTTGCTCTTGGTGGGCTCTGGCAGGTTTTTGAGGCTGTTGCTTTTCCATGGATGTCAGTGTTGCGTGCATGTTGCTGTGACAGTGTTTGGGGTGAAGAGCTCTTGGGTTTGTGAACAGGATCCTTGTGATCAAGGAGGGATCAGTTCAGCTGTGCTGGAAGAAACACTCGTGCTTAGTGGGCATGTCCTCTCCAGACAGGAGCTCGTGTTTGGGGCAGATAGAGGTGCAGTAAACAGTGCCTGAGCAGCAGGTCGGCTCCAGCTGGGCTGTGACTGGCACGCTAAGGAGGGCTGTTCTGGAGCTCACTTCACAGCTGGCTTTTTCTCTTAATGACTTGCTTTGGAGGCAAGAGGGGGGCAGTCATCTGAGGAATGTGGTTATTGGAGTCACCCCGCAGAATCCTGGCTGGTGTGTGTTTGGCAGGGCTGCCTCCCAGCTCAGTGCCTGTGGGTGGAATGCCGGCTGTCCTTGGGAGCAGGAAGCTGGGGAAGCCAGCAGGCATTGCCAGCAGCTGTGAGCAGAGCTGGCTGACAGAAGGGGCAGGACGAGCTGCTGCACCAGCCCTGCTGGTATTTGCAGTCCTGGGAACTGCACCACAGACACCCCAGGCTGCTCAGAGCTTTTCCCCCAGCTGCTGGGATCTCTCCTGAGCGGGGTGTTGTGACCAAGGTCTGTAGCAACCCCCCTTTCTTCCCAGCCCTCCTGAAGCTGGTCTGGTTGGGACAGTGATGGAGGTGTTGCAGGGTCCCTGTTAAGCTTATTCACACCTGGATTTTCAGATCAAGCACTTTGAATGGATGGCTTTGGCCATGGGAAATACAAATCCAGTGGAGTTAGCACAGTCTGTGATCTGTTGCTACAGGTGGAATAAGGGATAAAAGCTCTTCTTTCTTCTTCCCATATGATAGAGAACTTTTAGAGGGGGTGTATTAAACATGTGGTGAGCTTCCTGTCCTGCTGTGGATTCCAGATGAGGTTTTGAGGACCTTTTCCATCTGTTACTTAGAGTAATGGTCCCTATCCAAATTCTTCTGTTCCAAGACGTCTAGTCTGCCAGGGCTGATTGTTGTGCACACAAAGCTGCTTTGTATCATCTGGCAAATAAGAGAGACTGGTATTATGATCCCAGTCACCCTGAACATTCATGGCAGGATAAAGCATCCTTAAAGTAAACTGGAGTCTGCCTCCCTTCCCTGCCTGGCTCTGTGCTGTCGCTGTTCCCACAGCGCATTCTGCTGTGCTTTCATCTCCAAGGAATCCCATCACCAAGGAAACAACATCAGAGAATTAACATCAAAAAATTGAGGGATTTCCTCTTTTGTTGTCTCTGTACACCTGAAAATGAATGGAAGCCCAGTGCAGGCTGGGCAGCCAAGGCCTGGCCCAGCTCCTGCTGGGCAGCAGTGTCACTTTTTCCCAGCTCTCACAGTGCAAGGCCTGTCTCTCACAGTTCCCCATTATGCAGTGATGTATTCTGCTGAATGTGCCCTTAATAAGGTCTCATTCAGCTCCTGAGCAGAGCCCAGATTGTGTCTTCATTAAAAAGGGCACATCTTCATTAGCCCAGAGCTCTCTGGGCAAAGCAGTTCCGCTGCAGGCTTGGGCACTTTGCCCCAGTGAGAGCAGGTTTGGGCTGTTTCCCCTCCCCTGCCACAGCAGCACAGCCCTGTGTGCTGAGTGTGCAGCTCACAAGGGAAGGGCAGTTTTAGCATTTAGGTTGTGGCTGCACCAAGCTTTGCTCTACAGAGGAGGGAGAAGCAGCAGGGAGCAGCAAATTTGGGACTGTTGACATGGATTCACTTGCAGGGCTGCTGGGGGGGTTGTGGAAGGATCATGGGAAGATGTTCCCAGAGTCAGAAGGAGGAGATTCATTATCAGTAAGGGAATTGGTGCTGTTAAGATTATTTTTAAGGCTTTGGGGCTGTTTGCTGTTGGATGAGGCTGTCACACAAAGGACACCCTGTGTGACTCCTGGCTGCTGGGGTGGAGGAAGTGTGTGATATGTCAGGGACTTGTGTGAACTTGTTCAGGAAATTCTCTGTGAAACAGAATTGCTGTTGCTGAAGGTGCTACCGGAGAATTCCCAGTAACAAAGGTGGCCAGAGGCTTTTCCTGTTGATGGGAACAGGCATTGTTCTGCACTGGGAGTGAACTGGCTGCCAGCCCTGAGCACAAAGCTTGTCCTGAAGGTGCAGAGCAGATTTCTCCAGCTCAGCTGAGTGCTGCCACAGGGCCAAGCTGAACCTTGTCTGCACATTCACACACCGGGCTGCAGGTGGCTTTAAAGGTCTGGTTTCATGGATTTCACTTGTGAGGTTGTTTATGTGTAAGATGGTTGGAAAGAAGATCAAGCTTGAGAAAGGATGAAATCAGAAAATCCTTTAAAATTCAAATTTGCAAGTGAGTTCCCCACATTCTATTTTTGGTGTCCTGTATTTCCTTTCTGGGGGTGAGGTGCTACACATGCTTTACTCTCTCTGTGCAGCTGAAGTGCTGCTGTAGCTGCTCTGAGATTTTGTGCAGCACCATCAGCCGTGACAAGCCCCAGGAACAGGGGCAGGCTCTCTATGCAGGTGTTTATCCCATGTTCTCTGACTCCTCTTGGTTCAGAATCTCTTCATCTGGAGCCCATATTTTTCATACAGCACATCTTGTAAAGGATTGCTGTGCTGCTGAAGGGGCCCAAATCAACCCTTTGTGAAGATTTAACACTGCTTGGGTGATAGACATGATGGGTGTGCTCAGCAAGAAGAAATTGCCCTTGCAGTCCTATCAGGGAGAGAAATCTGGAATGGTTCCCTTTAATCCTGTTTGTGGATACATCAGCAAACATGTGACCACTGTCCTTGGAGCCTTAAGAACCTGCATAAGGAATGGATGGGTACATAATTTTCTCATTCACAGCATGGAGATTTATGAATTCTCTCCATTTACTGACTCTTATCTCAAAGGAAGTAAAACAGTTGTTAAAAAAGTGATTTCTGTTGCAAAAATATATTTTATTTTCTACATCTAGAAAACACCACAATTGAACTTTTGTGGAAGCTTCATTGCATTACATACGTAATTCCAAAGCTCTGCCTGATTTCTCCCAGGTTTAACTCTTTGATGGCATTTTGCTGGTGTGCACATATTGATCAGCTCTCTCTCCTCTTCCAGAGATCTATCGGATTGTTTCCCAGAAGCAGATGTCTGACAGACGTGAGAATGACATGTCCCCAAGCAACAACGTGGTTCCCATCCACGTCCCTCCAACCACTGAAAACAAACCAAAGATGCAGTGCTGTCAGAATATATAAATTGTCCATTCTTTCCTAAAAGGCTGTGTATATTCCCCAGGTCCAAGATTTAAATATATTTGTAATTCTTGTGGTTACATTCTTGTGTTTAGTTACTGCTTATTCCTTCTCCATGAGTTTCTCCATGTCTTAAACACTTTGATTTCAGTGTTTATCAATCTCTTACGTGGATGTGGCTGCAGTATTTTCCCAACCTGTTGGTTTGGGCTCAGTAAATTGTTTGGAACTCAACTGATCCCTTCCCAACATGATGCCCGCTAGTCAGAGCACTGACACCTTTGGAGAGCACTTGAAGACGTTATCCTGCTCCTCACAAAACAATTACTGTCAGGTTAACGAGGAAAATCTCTCTGGGCAGGTTAATCTTTCCTGGTCTTAAGGTGTTGTATTGTGCATCTAAAGCTCGGCAAAGCTCTGAAGTGCAATTTTATTGTAAGTTAAAATTTTTTGGCTACATCTTTAGATTGTCAAGTGAAGTTTTATAGGATATTATGGGGGAGAAAAGAGAATTTCTCGTGAACATTAAGCAGATAACTGCAGTTCTGGCTATCTGTGAGTGAGGTGCTGTGGTTTGGCACCTGCTGCAGAGGAGGTTGATGTGAGGCAGAGCTGCTGGGACCCCACAGAGGAGCCCCTTGGGAAGGAAGTGAATGCAGGAGCTGCATCCCTGAGGAAGGGTCACTCCAGCTCTGGAACTTGCAGCATCTTTGTGCTGCTGGAGGCTCAGCCTCCACAGTGCTGGTGGTATCAGCATTTGAGGATGCCTTTTTTTCTTGAAGGATGTTACATATCACATCTACTAATGCATGCCACATATATTAATATATTCAAGTGCTTGAGTTGATGAATGAATAACTTCCACTACCTGGCCTTAGTTTTCAGTTCTGGTTGATCCAGTATTTTTAAATTATTCCAGCTGTTTGCTGTGTGTTCTTGAACAAAAACCCTCTGGAGTAGTTTTCTGACTGGATGTGTTCCTCCTGTGCTCTGTTGCTCTGTACCAATCCAGTCCAATCTGCTTGTTCAGGGATACATGAACTGTGCCTTCTGTCACTGCACGTCACGCGCTCTGTGCTGTTCCCAGCCACGCCTGACACTGGCACTGGGGGCCACAGCCACTGCATTCCCACAGGATTTAAAGGAACTCTCTGTTGTGTAAATGCCTGAGGGAAGAAATTGATTGTAGGGGACGTTTCTCAATCTCTGATATGACCCACTTGGAAGATCCAGATGTGGTCAGCACTTCCAGCTGTGTTCTGTTCCCAACCTTTCTGTCTCGCGGTGCTCATGATGTGTGAGGCACACGGAAGGCATTGCTGTAGTCGGTCACTTCTTGTTTTTCACTCCATTTCTCCTCCTGATATTAGTTCTGAAGATGCTATTTTGATCTGTTTGTAAATTACTTTGTATTTTATGCATGTACTGTACTTTGATTCATTATTTTTTTAGATTGATTTAAAATATATTCATCCATTATTCTAATAAAGAATTACAGGGGACGACTCACTGTGGTGTTGGGTGCACTTCTTGGGAGAATTGGGATTTGACTGAAGGTTTTATCTCTGAGCTTCTTAAGAGGCAGTGAGAAGACACTGAAGTGGAAGTGTCCCTGGAAAAGGAGCTGAAAGGGTTGTGTAGCACAGTAGCCTTCTCTGAGAGCAGCTCTGAACTTCCTGGGGCTGCTGCAGTTCATGGCCAGTGCACTTTGGCAGCTTCAGGAAGCTTTGAAAGCTTTGAAGCTTAGAAAATTCTGTGGGTTCACTCCACTCAAACCTCTGAATAACTTTTACAAACTGGTTTTTTTCCCCCATGTTGCCACAGGGAAGAAAAGCTGGCGAGAGACAACTCCTGCTTTTTGCAGCTTTGGATCCTGCTGTGGTGTTCTGATGCAGAGGTGGCCATGAGCACCAACGGGGCAGCACTGGTGGCCCTGGGGATGGCTCTGAGGGTGAGGTGTGAGCCTCACTCACTGCAGGAGCTGTTCTTGCAGCACATTTTCTGCCCATACTGGAGCAGATTTTGGAATCAATCTATTTCTTGTGGCAGCCAAGTTCTAAATTTGTCAGCTGGAAATGCAGGATGCGTTTCACTCTGCTTCCTTTCCTCATTCCTATAAGCAGGTGACTCGACTCTGCTGTCACATCAATCTGGTTTTTGTGTGGTTTTAGGCAAAGCTTCCTCCTGCAGCAGATGGAGTTGCAGTGCAGACGGTGGGAGCACAAACCACTGTGAGAGGCTGAGGACTTCTAAAGCAAAATCCAATGGGGTCTGTACAGAAAAGGAACTTCTCACCTGGGAAATCCTTTTCCTCCTGTTCTCAGGGTCTGTGCTGTGTTTGCCTAAGGATTGCAGGGCCCTGGCAGCAGATCCTGGCATGGGCTGGGTGACACTCCTGGGACAGGAAGGTGCTTCCCGAGGTGTTTTGGGAGAGACAATGCAAGTCGTTATTCCATCTGAATGCTTTCCAATAGGGGATTGTCCTGTTCAGCTGCTGATTAATCATTCTGTTCCATAATTGGCACTACTTGTGTACTGATGTGTCTCCTCCCTGCTAATGGAGACAGCTGATGGTAACAGACACTGCTTTGGGCTCTGGAAGGAGCTTTCTGAGATTCTGGGAATTCCACATAATGCTTCAGAATGACCTTTGCCTGCCAAAAGTTTTTGCTGTCATTTACATATTTGAAAGCTCCAACTTTTAACAATTATTCAGCAAGCATCAGTGGTTCCTGTCTTTGATGGGAGTTGAGGTTCTGACTCTTAAGCAGAAAGGCCATGGAATTGTTCTGATTTAAAGATATTTTTATTAAGCTAGAAATACTTACTCTATAAATTCAGACCTGATGAATTTCCAGCCTTAAATAGCTTATTGAGTGTGGCTTGTCAAATAAGAAGATTACACGCTGGGCTTTAGTTAACAAGATTTTTAGAAATATGAAGCACAAATATTGAAAGGCTTCAGCACATAGCAGTGGCTGTGTTGCCTGGGACTCATTAATTCTGCAGGTGTTTCTGCTGCAAATCTGTGATTTATTCATTGGGCTCCCTGGGAGCTGCTGGGCTGTCTCGTGTCCTGTCCCATTACTGCTGGGTGACCGTGGGTGTCCAAGTGTCCACCCAAAGGAACCTGCAGGTGGCCCAGGGCAGGGTCACCACACAGGGTGTGTAGGGGCTCTTCCAGCTGGGATTGTGCATTCCCAGGAGTCTCACTGAGGTCAGACTGCCCAGGAACTGGGGACAAAGGTGTGCACAGCCACTTACCTTTGGTTTACTCCAACTTGGAATGGCAGCACTGGGTTTTCTGAGCCGTCCTGCCAGTTCTGTCCCAGCCTGGTTCTTGGGGGTTTTGGCTGAGGGGAGCAGCCACATCACCTGCAGAGCTTGGATCTGTGCAGGGCTGGAAGTTTTGCTCTGCAAATGAGTACGTTGGAGAACTACACATTGAGAGAAATTCAATTTATTTTGTACAAGGTAGGATACCTTTGCACAGTGAACAAATATATTACAAATCTGTCTTGCCTTAAAAAAGTATTGCCATTTTGGTGCCTGTTTCCTAAGCTAATGCTGATATACAAGAAGGTACTTTTTTTTGTTGGTTTTTTGGGTTTTTTTCCTGTTAAGCTCTATGCACATCATTGCATTTGGTTTTGAAATCCTGCTTTGAAAAACAAACCAAACAACAGAGCTCATCTCTGCTCTGGAGTCTCATTGCAAACTACAGCAACACACAAACGTGGGTCAGGCCAGCAGCTCAGGCTGCTTGTGCTGGGTGCCAGGGTGGGTTTTAATGAAAGTATTCCTTATCCAACTGCCTTTCTTCTGATATTTTTGAGGTAAGTCTTTCCATTCATGTATGTAAAATATATTCCTACTGGGCCTACAAAAGAATTGTTTTCTTACATCTCAAATAAGGCTTTCCTGGAAAACAAAACTGCTATTGCTGATCAGCCACGGCCCCCATGCACACATGCAGCATTCGGGAAACCTCGTGGGCAGGATCCTGCGGCTCGGACAGCGCCTGCTCCGGGAGCCTGGGGGTGTCCAGGCTCAGCCTGACCACCTGGACAGCCCTGCCTCCAAGGGGAAAGGCTCCCAGGGATGGAATGCCCAGAGCCAGGGGCTGTGATCCCAGGCATGAGGGCTGAGCCCATCTCTGGGGACATGGCTGGGCCCTACCACGGTGCTCCAAGGATCCAGGAGTATTCCCAGAGCTGGGATCCAGCTGCTGCCCCCGAGCCCAGCAGGTGACACCTGGGATCGTGCTGCGAGCAAACCCACGGGGCTGGAGTCGTCTTCTTCTGCTTCCATCAGACTGGCGAATGTGCAACAGAATATTTTTATATTTAAAAGGCAATCAACTTGCTACTTCCACGTTTGCCTAATAAAATTACATACTTAGAGTCAATACTACTTCATGCTCAAAATCTACAAGGAACTAACGGCAAGTACTCTACTTTCTAGGTCAATAGAGATTATAAATTAAAAAAAAATCATGGTGGCTCTGTCCAAAATTTTACCATGGGTCAGACCCTTGATAATTACTTCACAAACAGCTGCTGAAAAAGAAAACCCAGTTTCAGCTCCATTTAATGACATTTCAGGTAGAATCATCAACGGATAAAGTTGCACTACATGGTAATGCACATCAGCTTAAGAGGTGTCATCAGTGGCATGCTGACAGTGAATCATGAGGAGATGGTTTGGGAAGATGGGAGAGAGAAGCCGATGTGGCTCAGCTTTGAGAAAGGAAATGAAACCAGGGCTGGTCTGTGCAAACCTGCAGCGTCCCAGGGCAGGAATTGGAGGGGCAGCAGTTTAAACTGACAGATCTGCTGGATTTTAGCTACCAAAAGAGAAGCTGCATAAGGAAAATCAAAGCCTACCTGTGCCAATCAATGTTAAAAGTGTGGTAAGATGGGTGTGAAATTTGTTGTGGAAATTCCATTCATTAGCAAAGACCAGGGGACATTTGGAAAGATATTAAAAACTGCACAGAAAGTGTCTGTGTTAACATTCCTCACTTCAAATTCTCTGGTACTGAAAATAGAGATGACAATCTCAGTGCTAATTACCAAGCATGATCTGCACAGGTTGCACATGGTGATGGCAGTAAATGAGCTTTCCAGACAGTGAAATGACAAATTTCCCTGCTCTCGTTCAGAAAAATGTCCATTCTCATGACAAAGATGAAAATGAATTCCAGCGTATTCCTAGTCACCTTGTTCCTAACAGTAAGAAGTTTCTTGATGCAGTTGGTAGAAATGTACATCCTGAAGTCCTTCTACTTAGCATGTTTTTGTGGTTTATTTTACAGCAAAGCCAGGGTTAGAACGTGTCACGGAGAGTTTTTGCCTGGAGCATGAAGACACCTTCCTGGGGTGATGTGCTCCAGTCCCACGTGAAGGAGGCTCTCGTTAGTTCCAGGTACCCATACAAAAATGTCTTTATAAATAACATCATGCAGCAGCAGTTGGCCCAAGCTGATGTCGTGTTAGGTCCTTGCCAGTCCCTGGAAAGGAAGGAACGGCTTCTCCTCTGCTTCCTCACAGTCTGTGTTGGCAGCACAGTGCCCAGTGAAGTCCATCCCTCTCTAAGACTGCTTGTCCCAAGAAGGCCCGTGGGTCGGGCTGTGCCGGACGGGGAGCAGGTCGTAGTGACCAGGAATGTGACTGTTCCTAGGCAGGTCATACGGGTTCTGAAGGTAACTGGCACTCCGACTGCGGCCGTCCTGGACTATGCTGACAGTGGGCTCTGGGGGAGCAAGGAGAACTGGGTTGTGGTGACCAGCAGCAGTCCCAAAACTCCTGATCCTCATGGGTCCCTTCCAGCTCAGGTCCTCCCCCTGCCACTTCATCCCTGTGCCACGCCAAGCCCAGGATCCTTGTACCAGGACAGGGGAAAACCAGCATCTCCACCACCCCCCTGTGCCACCCACTGCTTACCAACTTCATAGATGTTTTTATTGGCTGTTGATGAAGTTGGCATTTCGGAATATGGGGACTCCCTGTGACCAGGTGATTTCATTTCCACGTAGCTGCTCTCGGAGTGTTTGCAGGTTAAAATGGGGGGGTCTTTAATGGTGGCGTATGGGTTTTCACTGCTGTTCAGGGAACAAGTGCTGGAGCTGCACACAGATTCTTTCATATAATCTGCAAAACAAGAGCCGAGTGGGTGCGTTAGGGTCATTAGCTTAATTAGGTTAATTACAACTGAGCCTCTGCAGGAAGGCTGGGGGGGACAATGGGGCAGAGGATAAGGAAGATCTTTGAAGCCTCCAGCACAGACACCCGGTGCTTGTGCTCTGGATGTTCCAGACCATTGCATCCACCACTCACTAGCAGGAAAGAGATGAAAACCTGCTCAGTACTGAAGGTTTTCCTGTGAAAGGTTCTGGCTGTCATTGACTGCAATATTTAATTTGAGGTGGCAATCCTTTCCTCCCTCCCCCTAATTCCTACAGAGCCGTGTTTATCCCGCTCTGCCTGCCCCGCAGACCCAGGCACGGCCGCGGGCAGCCGGCTCTGCAGGCAGGAGCTGCTGCTGGGACCTGGGGTGCTCAGCCAGCTGCAGGGTGAGTCCCAGGCCTTGGTCACATCCAGTGCCCTGTGCTGGAGTGCACGACATTGCCACAGGCTCAGAACTGCACCAGTGCAGCCTCTGCATGCGCAGCCCCTGCTGGTTTTGGGGTTATCCAGCATCCTACAATTGGGGAATGCTTGGGTTTCCACAGGGGGAACAAGCCTCCATTTGAGCCTCACTTTTGCTCTGCTTTTTTCCCCCGCTTTGCTGTAGACATCTCCTGCTCCTCTCCCCTGGGCTGGAGAGGAGCTGATGGAGGCACTACATGGGGAGAACAAAGTTGGCATGAGAGCTGTGACCGCCGGCCTGCCTGGTCTGTGACCTTGGCTGGGATAGGCCAGCCTGCTGCAAGGTACAGTGCCAGTCTTGCTTTAAAAATAAAAAACAATAGAGAACAAATAAGTCTTAACATTGACATTCAAGAACGTGCCATTGCTGTTGTGTGCATCCTGCTGGGCAGTGCCAGTAATTTAGAATTAGAGCGATGCAATGAAAGATGAGGCATTTTCTTGTGCTGGGTTACAGTACAAAGGCAGATCCTGGTATATATGAAATACTCCCGGTGAAATAGGGGGACTTGCAAAATAGCTGCAATCCCAGCTGCCCCCGCTGTCTAGTATGGGAGACAAAAAGAGAAATTCAGGTTAAGAAATAGACAGACAACACGACATCGCTTCTCCGCTCCAAACCTCGGCTCTGAGCCTGCCAGCCCCATCCTGCTCCCTCACGTGCCAGGTTTGCTCCACTGTGAGTGATTGTCCCTCCTTCAGCTCTGGGCTTGTGTCTGTGTCTGTGTGCCTGGCACCCTGGCCTGGTGCCCCTTGGTGCTGGGTCAATCCTGGGGGAGGTGCCAGGTCGTGCTGTGCCACCTGCAGCCAGCTGTTGCCTTTCTGGGCTCTGATTTCAGTGGTACTGAGTCTGGAGAGCCCTCAGCTCCCAGGGTCAGCTCCCTGGGAAGCTCCACTGCACACAAATAGCTGGGACCATCAGGGATGGGGAGGCTGGCAGAGGCCTGGCACCAATGCAATGTTTATTTAGTTAGAAAACTTAGAAACTCCTTGTTTGACATCAGCCTGGGTGAGATGAGCAGTGCCTTTGTTTGCAAGTGAAACACACCTGGTTTGGTACCTAGCAGGAGATGGGAACCAAAGCAACACCAACATTCCCTGGCTGTTGGCTGCAGGGTTTGTCCCTCCAGGGTCACCAACCCCAGCCCAGTACACATCAGTGGAAAACTGCCCCATCCCATCCTTCTCTGGAGAGATGGAGACCTGTGAGACCAAAGGCTTCTGCACATGAGTGAGCTCAGTGGTGGCTTTTGCTGTGTATGTGACTGATCCAGATGCCAGTCTGGGATCTCTTGGTGGTAGAGGTGAGGAAAGCACAGATAGACAAATGAAAGCCTCAGCTCCACCTGCCAGCAAGTTACAGCTCCTGGTGGCTACTGCAGGGACATAGAGCTCGTTAGGAGAGCCTGGGCAGCCTTTAATGAGCCAGCTCTGCATTTTGGGGTGAGGGACATGAAGATTATCATAAAATTGCTTCTTTATTTCAAGCAGTGCTGCTGAGTAGATGCTGACAGGGCAAAAGGTAGGATTCCCTCTGTGCCCCAAGAACCCCCTGCAAAGCATTCCCTGTCAGCATCACGGCTGGGAGGGAACAAATCAAACCAGAGCTGGGTGTAGATTCAGGAAATGTTGATTATAAAGGGCTGCTGGCTGCTAGAGCAAAGAAGAGCAGAGTGAGAATTCCTCCTCCTGCAGAGCTGCAGCTGCAGGTAAATAGCTGTGTGGTTTGTTTATGGAATTGGGCACATTGGAGCTGGCAAAGGCAAAAATCCCAGCACATCAGCTATTTTATTTCATCCAGCTCAGCTACTTTTATCTCTCTAAGCTAAAATTCACCTGTACTGCAGTTAGAGCTGACATTACCTCCCAGGCAGGTGTCCCTCAGCCTTTCCCTTCCCAGGGCCAGTTGGAAGAGACCAGTGAATGCCACTCGGGCTGCCCAGACCTGTTTGGCCTCTCCCAGGAATTGCCTTTCCCAGGAGATATTGAGAAACAACAAGCCTGAGAGCCCAGAGAGCCCATTCCTGCTGACGTAAACAGAGCTCTGTGTCTGCCTGGGATCAGACCTTTGCTTTGGACACAATATATTTTATGGAGCACCAGTGGATGTTTGGGATTCTGGGTACACCAGGGAGTCATTAGCCCTCAAGAAACATTATGTGCAAGATCATGGAGGATTTAACTCTAAAGGCTGTAGAAGCAGCTGAGTTACTCTGTTATTAAGGTAATTTGGAGATAATTAAGAAGTCTGGCATCAATTGTCAAATTTTGTTTCATGAATTAATTTAAGGAGAACAGACTTATTTAGAGATTCTCAGCCCATGGTGCTGCAGGCCATGTGTGAGCCCGGGCTGTGCTGCCTCCTCATCCCTCCTGCCACAGTGTCCAGCTCTCATGGAGGTGGAAGCTCTGCCCCGCAGTGCTGGGACTCACTGGAAGCTCTCAATCAGCTGGACTTCCAGAGAAATATTGGGAATACACTCTAATTTTGAAGTCCCTGCCTTCTGTGTTGCCTGGATACCGATATCCAGACCTTTGGAGGGTTTATTTTTGTTAGCAGGGACTGGAAATGTCCCTCCCACAGGCTGGGTTCCTCTCCTGTGCCCTGAATTTCCCCTGGCATCCTGCTGACAAGCCTTGGATCCCACAGCCGAGGTGGAAGTGCTGAGGAGAGGAGCTGTACACTGCTGGAAGGTGTACCCCTATTTAACCCTTGTTGGGATGAAGTGCCTGTGCTGGTTGCTGTCCCTGGCCTGGCCAGCCTTGGCTGCTGCAGGGACAGTGACACAGTGAGGGCCCATTGCTGCCTCTCAGAGGGGCACAGGAGTGGGGTCACATCCTGAACAGTGGTCAGGGGAACCACTCTGAGCCCAGCCCTGCATCCCTGGGGTCAGTGCTTCTCTCTGCTGGGATTTTCCTGGCTCTTATACAAAGCATGGGTGCTTTTCCTTAAAATGGTCGTGCCTGAGGTCACATCATTCCATCAGTGCAGCGGTATCCATTTAAAAAAAACCAAACCTCTAAAAACCAAAGGACTTAGCTGAAATGAAAAGCTCAGGAATGGTATCACTGAGCACCTTGCTCAGGAAAGAAACTGCTCAGAATCCTGCTCTGAAAACCCTGGTGCCTGTTGAGCCGCTGTCACCATGTGCCAGCAGGGCCCTGTGACAGCCAGCCCCTCTCTGCTGCTGGCAGACCCTGGGCTGGACACCTGGCAATCCCAGATCTCTGTGCCTGACCCCTGGGGCTCCACAGCAGCTCCACCACACCCCTGGTGCCAGGCTGCACAGGGGACACCCCTCTGCTGCTGCCCTGCTCTCGGCTCCTCAGAGAACTGGGGAAGCAGGAGGTAGGCCAGGTTCACCACAGCCTGGCCTCAGCCTCAAGCCCCCTGTGCCCCCTCCCGGCAAGGCTCTGTCTGATCCAGGGGTACCAGAGACCATTTCCAACTGCAGGACAGGCTGTCCCCAGTTAGAGCACACTGGTGGGGAAAGACAGGGGTTTAAAGTGGATGAAAGGAGATACAAACCCGCCTGCCAAGTCTTTTGCTGACAGAATCCAATTGTTTGGGACTGGGAGTTTCTTGCTCTCCGTTTTCTGAGGAATGTGGTGAGTCAGGGTCTGGCAGGGCAAGGAGAGCTCACCCTGAGCACTGGGCACATTCCCAGCTCCTCCTGGGAGGAGACTCCCCTGGGCCTGGGGGTGACCACGCTGCCACAGAGCCCTGTGGGGCTGCCTGAGCACAGGAATTGACCTTCAGAGGGGCCTTGGGAACCTTCAGCCAACCAAGGACAGCTGTTTCTGTGAGCTCTCAGCTCCTAAGTGCCTGCAGGTGAGCTCCCAAACAGACCTGGGTAGCCTGGTGTGTCCCCATGTCCCGGCACCCTGCCCCTGCCAGTGCAGCCCTGCCTGGCTGAGGCAGCTGAGCAGCCACAGAGAATTCCAGCTGTGGCTTCTGAGCCTGATTTTTCAATTTATGAAGAGATAAACATGTAAAGGAAATGGTTCAGATCCTAAAAAATTAAAGAAAATATGTAGCAGCTGAAAATGCATTTCACAATTTGCTGTTACAGTGATTCTTTTTCTCTGCCCCCACTGGGCTCCCTCTGTGTGAGGGCCTGTGGATGAGAGTTCCTGCTGCATGTGCTTAGGGAACCTTTAAACTTTGTGAACACAGTAATTTAGTTTAAACTAGTGAAGTTAATAGCTCCATGTAAAGATAACAACTAGCTCTATTAGAATAAGATTTTTCTTTTGAAAAAAGGAATCATTGAAGTAGCTGAAACCAGTGGATTGAGTGTTTTGTATGTCATAAATCATATATATCATATACATACATAATCAAATCGATATTTTTACTTTAGCTTTATCAACAAAGAGTTGGTCACAGATCCTTGGTTTCCTTTGGTGATTCTGTGTGGTAAGGTGATGTTCTAGCAAATATTGCATCCCTGTATTTTGAAAACAGCAGCTACAAAGTGAATATTGATCTCTAGGCCTGGCTATAAGCTGGTGAATGCTTTTTATGCGGAATACTTTCGATATTCCTCGTTAGCTGAGACAAGGGTGTGGCTCTGGGGCACCTCAGCCATGGCAGGGCATGGCAGCAGCAGCAGCAGCAGCAGCTCGAGGGCATTGCACCCAGAGGCTGTCTGGTGTTTCCCCCCTCACATTCCCAGAAGTAAAAGCCTTGGATTCAGATCAAGGACCTCAGCCTGGAAGCTGCCTATTCCCCAGGAGACAGATTCCTTGCTCCATCTTCTGGAGCACAAGCTCAGTGTGCTAAACCCCAGGCCAATCTGCCAGGAGCTGTGGGAACCTCTGTGCCCAGTGTTCCCTTGCTCCAGACTGGAATATTTAGAATGTAAAGGTGGAGGAAAAGTGAAATGTAAAACCTCTGAGCCCTGTGCTCGTGACTCCTCTGAGATGCTGGTGTAGACCTGCCCTGGAGTCAGTGCCCACAGCTGCTGGTGCCGGCGTGAGGGGACCTCAGCCCCAGGGAGGGCTCTTTTAGCTCTGCTCTAAATCCCCCTCAGCAAAGGGCACGGGCAGGGACACTTTCCTTCCTAGGGGCTGTCTTTAAACTCAGCATGGCCAGGAGCCAGGAGCAGGGACACACAGCACTGCAGCTCCCCCAGAGCCCTTGGGTGGGTCCTACCTGAGTGTGCCCTGGGCAGCTCCAGCTGCCCCTCCTGCCCTGCGCTGAGCCCTCCCTTTCGCCCTGTGGCTCTGGGAAGCTTTGCATCCATAATTCATGGCCCAGGAGTGCTGGGAGCCAGGCAGGCAGCTCGTGTGGGTGGTGGCTCTGTCCCTCCCTGCCTGCGCCGCCTCTGCCGGGCTCCTATCTCACCTCTTCTAGGACACCCTCCTCACACCTGGGCAGGGTTCTGCAGCTCTGGATACCATACCTTTGAAGCTTTTTTCCATTATGTATGTGTTCTGACGTCTATCCATCCCACAAGCACCTGCATAAAAATGATATATAATGGAAAACAAATAAATATTTATGTAAATTGGATTGCTTTGACTACTGAGCAGAATATATTCTTCCATCTAAATTGTACATCAAGGCCCTCATTTAGGGAGGCTCTTAAGCACATCCTCAGCTGTAAGCACACACTCAGCTCCAGTGGGGAGTCTGCATGCCTGGAACTATTCATGTGCTTAAGAGTTTCCCTGGAAGGGAGAGCTCCCTGCAGCAGGGTTACCGAGAACTGCCATCCATCAGGAGATCAGGATAAAAACCATCTGCTGAGACATTCATTACTGGAACGGTGTGAAAGGAGCCTAAAACCTGCCCTTTCAAATCAGAGTCTGCAGGCTGCGGTGCAGCACTCTGTGGCTAATTTTAGGCTTTGTTTTGTTTGTGGAGAGTGTGTTATTTTAACTCACAGCCTTAGACTCTAAGGTGTGTACAATCTTCTTAAATTACCTGCTATCACTTTGCTCATGAATTTGCAGGGTTCAGTGACTGATGTTACAACAGTCTCTAAGTGACCGCTGTGCTCTGAGCGCAGCACCAGGAGCAGAGCTGACAGCAAACAATTCTGCCTTGTGCAGCTCCAGAGGAACTTGCTGTTCCTCACAGAAGCTGAGACAGGAGGGAATGGGGACCTTTTCCATTTTTACTCTTGCAAATTGCCCTAGATATCAATCAAAAGGAAAATCTAATGTAAGCCTTTAAATCTTTTTAGCTATAGAGTCTGGTATTTCCTATTGACTGGGACAATCAATACAAATCTGGTTAGTGAGAAATGTCCTTGTGGCTTATGGGATTCCCAGTCAAGTAACTCAGTTACACTGGGAAAAGAGCCTCACAAACAGCATGTCCCAGAGGTGTCCCAGCTATTTGTCCTTGTGTGTCCTCTGGTCTCTGCAGAAAAGTTGTCATGGCCATGGGCAATGCTGTACCAGCCCCTTTTTCATGACAGTTCATTTTTTTTTGCTAAATAAGGGAAATGGCTACACCAGACAATAAATGGGTTTTCTGGCACATCAGAAACAAACCAAGCCTTTGCTGTGGTTGTCAGTGCCCATAGCTGAGCACAGGAAAGGGGCTGGTGGCACCTGCCTGGCTCTCTGTGATGGAGCCATTCTGGCCACCAGTGACCCCCGTCCATTCGAGCACCTTCTGCTTTGCAATTCCCAGACTCGCCCTGCTGCAGAGGGCAGGGCAGACTGTGAGGTTTGGGCAGCTGTGTCCCAGAGCAGGATGAGCTCTGTGCTCTTCCCCTGCTGTGTTCTGCTCGGGCAGAGTCGGAGCGAGGAGCATGGAGCAAATTCATGTCTTGGCCCATGGCCACAGGCCTGGGGCTCCCCAAGGCCATCCCTGGGGATCACACGGCCTCCTCCTGCCAGGGCTGAGCAGATCTGCCAGGGCAGCAGTGTCCAAGCAGCATTTGGGGCTCACCCATGGAGCAAGGCTGGGAGGGGCCGCTGGGAGCTCCCAGCTGAGGTCCCCAGGGGAGGCAGTGGCAGGGGACAAAGGGGACCCAGGGGGGGTGCACTGCCCTTGGGAGGGCCACAAACCCCACAAAGCCCTTCCCCACCCAAAATTCCCTGTAATTCTGCCTTTAGTTTTCTATCTGTTATAATACTGTGGGTTCATGACCCATTTTTTTGTATTCACTGAGTTCCTCAGGAGGTGAAATGAATAATGGATAAATTATTTTTTAAACTGCAAAAGTAGTTAGTGTGGGAAAGTCCTAAACAGGCTGGGGATATGGCATTTTAGTAAAATCCAGGTTTAAGTTTGAAGCTAAATTATCTGCTGGGGTGAAATCAGAGTCTCAGCTGGAAATAGTTTTCCACATCTTTTGGCCTTGAGAAAAGTGAAGTCAGCTGTGGATCAAACTTATAGCCTTTGGTTCTCTGGAATAAATGGAGCTTTGAGTCACTCATGATGTGCTGCAAATCCCATTTTAGTGTCTGCATCCAGGGCTGCTGTCAAAAAAACATCCCAGATAAACCCAGCTGTGCCTGCAGCCACTGTGGCCAATGCTCCAGATAATGAGACAAGAACCTTTCCTGAGCTCAGGTCAGTGGTTTGGGAGTTTCTGACCTGCTTGGGAGGAGAGCTGGAAGCTGGGATCTGCCACTGCCCAGTGCAGACTGGACTAGAGCAAGAGGGATTACTCACAGGGCAAACATTTCCAGTTCTGCAACATGAGATGGAGTAAATGCAAGGACAAGCCATTCCCAGAAACAAGGACCAGGCTGCCTTGGGTAGGCAGTGACACACAGGAAGGTGACAAAGATTCCTCTTCTTGGTACCACAGAGTCCTCAAACTGATGTCTCAAGCCCACATCCACGGGAATTACTTGTGCTCCTCCCCAGACTCCACTGAACACAATCAGCTCTCTGAAAACCTGGAATTTGAAGCTCACAAACAGATGTGCAGCAGTAACAGTACAGGCTTTGTTCTTGCATTTCCCACTCGGAAAGAATATGAACCTGGCAAACCAAGTCCTGCAAAACAGGTGAAACACCTGCAGTCTGGTGAGATCCACTGCAATTCAGAAAATCCTTATCACTGCAGGTTTTAGGAGATGAGTGTTCAGGTTAATTTTGGTATGGATACTCATACAATTTCTTTTCCCCAGCTGTAATTCATGTTTAGGACACCTGCAGTTTCTAACAGGGCTGTAGACATTTCTGGGAGCCTGGTGCTCCTCATCTGCTGGGTCCCATCCTTTGGGATCACCAGAGGAGTTGTTGGCTGAGGAACCAGAGGAGAGTTTCCATCCATTCCAAATTTCTCTGCCATTTCTCTTCCATTTCCCTCTCCTTGGCTCACTCTCACATCTGCTCTCTGTGACAATTCCTGGGGTCACAGCAGAGGAGCTGGGCAGTTGTCCACTGCTATTTTTAACTTTTTAACTGAATCCAGCCCTGCCCAAGGCTTGGCTGCTCTTCCAACACATGATTTGAGACATCTATGTTATGAAACTAAGGTTGATCATGGGATCAGAAGGTGGAACATGTTTTTAACTGTGGTACTTCCATGCTCAATGAAGTTTGAAAGTCAAGATTCCCTGTGTGACCTTATTAGACTTTTATTTTATGTTTATAATTAGAAGTTGAAGATTGTAACTCTCTTCTCAAATTTTCATGACAGGAACCTGCAGTTTTTATTGCACAACAGTAACACCAAGAAGTGAAAACTTCTTATTTTCATGTAAAAACTGCCTTGATCTGAGCAAGGATTCAACATTATGAAAGTTAGCAGAAGCAGGCATTAATTCAGGTACTGAAAAGAAAGGAAAAAAAATCTAATTTTCATCAATTAGTTTGAAAAAAGAAAGAAAAAGGTATCTTGGATGCAAAATGCTATGAGAAAAAAACCAAAGTGTTTTGCTGGAGGCCCCTTAGCTAAAGTATTTATCACTTCTAGATCATTCTTGCTGCAGAGGCATTTAGCATCATTTCTGCTGGTAAAATAAAATGCATGAATGCAGAACAGAGGTGGCACATGGGGAGCTGAGGACAGCACAAGTTCAACACAAATAAAGCAAAGAGTGTGCAAAAAAAGCAGCAAAATGGTAAAAGGAAAATTAACGTGGTTTAAGAAGCACTTGGAAACCCTCACACACAGCCCCCTCCATGTCACACACAGAGAAGCACGACAGTGGTTCTGCAGATTATTCCACAGAAAACATTGATGGTTTTAAGGATGAAAAGATTTTGCACTGAAGCTTGACAGGTTTGTGATTTTCCTGATGCAGGGAAGAGTTCTCTTTGGGGCAGTGGCAGGATGTGATGCCTGGTGCTGCCCTATGTTCATTCCTTTGCCATGGGAGCTGTGAGATAGTTGATCTTAACAATCCCAAAATACTCCCCCTAATGCTGCACTTTCCCTCCTCCTGCACATTTTCAGTGAGTTGTTACTAATCCCAGGAAAGGAAAGGGCAAATGCTTTTGGCCACTGAGGAGCCAAACTCCGAGTGCTCAGATAGGAAAACAAATAGCATCCAAAGCACTAAATCTGGGCAGGATTTGATCTAAGAGCTGCTAAAAACCCTGTTAAAACTCAAGCCAGGGAGAATAAACTCGGAGCAGGCAATTAAACTTCACTCTTGGCTTGGTTGCACTGGCTGGTGGTTCAGAATTGCCACGGAATGATTTACTGGGAGATAATGGAGCATTGCACACCCCAGCTCCCACAGAGGCTCCACACCTTCATCAAGATGCCAGTATTTAGTGCTAAGCTTTATTAAGCATGAAAGAAAAAAAAAAAAGCCAAATTTGAATTTTTAATGTCCTGAGTTAGTCCTTAAAAAAACATTTATAGAGTAGATGATAGTGATTCAACAGAGCAACGTTGGAGGGGAGACTAAAATGAATATTGACTTTGCTTTCCCAGTCTGTGGTTTGTGGTAAAGGAAACAATTTTTAATTCTCCATCTTTCACTACTGGCAATTCTGATTGCAAAATAAAGATAACACCAATATTCCTCATTATTGTTAATGCCTTTATGAAAGGCTGATTTGGATTTGGAATTGCTCTAAAGTCTACCAAAGTGATTAAAGTGTTTAAAAATTACTGACCTAGTTCATTCAGATAGCTGTAGGGTCTCCAGTCTGCAGTTTCTCTGTCAAGGATTTTGTTACTGAGCTGTTCAAAAAGTATGATAATGGGTTAATGCTGGAAGAGACAGACAGTTCCCACCCCAGACTACAGCCCAAGGATGTCAGGAATAAAAATGGGAGGTGATTCCTGCCTTGGCCTCACCATCTCAGCCCTTTATCTGTGTGAGTTGGACAGCTGTTCACTAGCATTAGGGAAAATCACAAAGGAAAGTCACTTCACCAAGCCATGAGCACAAACATGCTGGAAAACACAGGATTTCCTTCAGAACCACGACTCAGATGCCTGTGGACATGGGGTGACACGCTCCAAAATAACCCATGGAGATGGATGGATCAAACCCCCAGACCAGCATGCACAGAGGGGCTGCCTGGAGCTCCGGGATCTGAGACAGCTGTGGGTGCACTCACAGGAGAGGCAGGGGGACACCAGTTCTCTCAGTTCAAGGAAAATAACTTTGGCAATGATGGAGCACAAAGATCCCTGTGGATCTGCCAGCGATCAGGAGAGTCCAGGGGCTCTGCTTTGGGGTGCATGGCCCTGCTGGGCTGTGACAGAGCAGAAGGGGCTCCACAGATCAGTGGTCACCAGCTGAATCCTGCAGGGGAGGTCTGGGAATCGCTGTAGGTGCTGAAAGTGCTGAGTTTTCCTCCTCACATTATTCCCTTGAAAGCCACACCTGCTGGAATACAGCTGCTCCTGAGGAAGTGTCAATTCAAGAGCAAATCCCAGCCTTGTTTCTGGAAAGTTATGAAGCCATCACTGCCCTCCTGTGTCAGCTTCCAGACTGGGAAGCCTCCTGCTGTGTTTGCAAGCACTCAGCTCTGCTATTTTATTGCATTTACAAGGAAATGCTTAACAAAAAGGAGGTTAAAATTGAAAGAGAGTATTCAAAATTACCACAACATTTCTTTTTTCCTGATCTATCATTCCTTTGTGCTTAGCTTTCTTAATAGGTTTTTAGACCTGGAACAAAACCCCTCACTGATGTACTGAAGCCTATTGGGATATTAAATCCCACCTGGGGCCCAGCACCTACAGCCACATTCCAAAGGCATTTTCACCTCTCCACTGTCCTTTCCAACAGCCCTCAGTGTTACTGCCACCCCACCTTGGGGTACAGCATCCCTGTGCTGTCCCTGTGCCTGCAGTGCTCCCACTGTCCCCGGGCACCGAGGAAACTGCAGGAAGCCTGGAGAGCCCAGGAGTCATTTCTTCATCATCCAGAAGCTCCCTGTGCTTCCCCAAACTGGGAATGGAAACAGAGAGAGCAGAGGCAGGGATGGATGGATGGATGGATGGATGGATGATGGATGGATGATGGATGATGGATGGATGGATGATGGATGATGGATGGATGGATGATGGATGATGGATGGATGATGGATGGATGATGGATGGATGGATGGATGATGGATGGATGGATGGATGATGGATGGATGGATGATGGATGGATGATGGATGATGGATGGATGGATGGATGGATGGATGATGGATGGATGATGGATGGATGGATGGATGGATGGATGGATGGATGGATGGATGGATGGATGGATGGATGATGGATGGATGGATGATGGATGGATGATGGATGGATGGATGGATGGATGATGGATGGATGGATGGATGGATGGATGGATGATGGATGGATGGATGATGGATGGATGATGGATGGATGGATGGATGGATGGATGGATGATGGATGGATGGATGGATGGATGATGGATGGATGATGGATGGATGGATGGATGGATGATGGATGGATGGTTGGATGGATGGATGGATGATGGATGGATGGATGGATGGATGGATGGATGGATGGATGGATGGATGATGGATGATGGATGGATGGATGATGGATGGATGATGGATGGATGGATGGATGGATGGATGGATGATGGATGGATGGATGGATGGATGGATGGATGATGGATGATGGATGGGGCAGTTGGACAGTCCAGCAGTGGCAGAGGGATGAGGAGCAGATCCATTTGGAATGTGGTCACTGGGAGGAATTCAACCCTTGGCACCCTCAGTTCACCTCAGCAGAGCCCACAGCTTCATTCTTCTCTTCAAAACTTGCAGCCAGAACACAAATGCTGATTTTTCAACCCAGCTGTACCATTTAGAGCACATTTATTGAAGTCTTGGGGTTTCTATTAAAAGCTGTGGGTTTGCAGGATTTATAAATCAGCTCACAAACCTAAAATTTGGCATGAAGAGCTACAGGCTAGAATTGATTTTTTTAATGAAATGATTTGGGGACATTTCTAAGTTTTTCTGAATGCAGTTTTTTTCTAAATGTGATTATAGCTGTCTCTTTGTGCTACTATCATTTCTTAGCACTATAATTTGTTAACTTTTTTTTTTTAAAGATAGAAAATACTTCAATTTTTACTGTGGAGCAAAACTGCTTTTCTGGAGGAAGAAATCCTTCATAGTAAATTTATCCATTAAAATTCCAGGCTGGTAATTTTAGCAATTTGGTTAAAACTACCTCATATCTGGCAACTTTTCCTTTAAGATCAACAAGATACCAGGCTGAGTAAAGCAAAGTCATTATCTGCCTGTCTGAAATAGCTGGATAGATGACAGTGGCCACTTGATCACCACCAGCCATTTGTCAAAGCCCAGGTTTTTAAGCCCATGGTGATTAGGCAAAGAAGTGCTGGCTGGAATTCCATCATACCTTTATCCTCCAGGAGAGCAATCAATAATTTGACATTTATTTCCCTAACTATTGACTTCAGATCTCCCTGGTCCAAGCTTGTGCTGCTCAGCTTTAGGTGCCCATGCTGAACATTCTGCAGTCATTCTGTATTTGCAGTCCTCCTTTTCCTTTTTTAAGGAAGTTTTAGTCAAAGGTACTTAAATGCTGCTTTCTGTAATTCCTTTTTATTAGCTAGTGACATCCAGTCAGACCATTTCCAGTGACCTCTGTTTTGCAGTTTCTAATTTTATGTGAAGTCTTTGGTAGAATTTAGAACTTCCTTTAATAGATGTGAAACTGCTGGCTTTAAAAATTCAGCACATCTAATAGCAATTGATTTTTATGATGTCTGTAGAAACCAACACCTGGACTTTTGCTGCAATGCTGGAAGGGAATGAGGGTGGAATTATGAGCTTTGCAAAAGCTCAAGGTGAGAGTCCTCCATTTGCTTGTGTCCAGTGCAGCATCCTCATCCTTTACACAAAGGATTCTTCACAAACTTTGTAGCACTTGGCAAAAGTGAGATTTGTTTCTATTTCATGCACAATTCAAAAACTCAGCCACAAAGCTGGCAGTGAAGCCCTAAGAGTGGTTCTGTGAGTTGTCCTGCCAAACACCCTCTGATCAAAACAGGTCCTCAGCATCTGAAACCTGCTCTGTGGCTCAGCAGTGAGAGCTCTGATGTGAAGACACAGATATGGAGGTATGTAATCTCTATTTTTCTGCTTTGGAAATTTTTGGTGTAGTAATTCTGTGGCAAAAGTTCACCTGAGTTCATATCTGATACTCCTCAGTAACTTGCAGCATCATTACTGGTTGGTGCTGCCCATGTCATGAGAAAAAAGGCCAAACTTACTTGCAGGAGCTCATAAGAAAAGGTCAAGGTTTGGCTTCACTTAAACTCACAGTAAAATATCTCTTGACTCCAATGGTTCCAGCATTTCCCTGGAGCTGCCTTGCCAAGCTCTGTCCTGTGGGAAGAGCAGTTACTTGTGGCAAAGTGCTGGGAGTTAAAAGCCTGCACTGAGATGCTGGAGCCTCCTCCTGACCCTCAGAGCCCAGATCCATTCTTGGGGACCTTGCAGAGAGATGAAGCTCAGTCCTACAAGCTCCTGGGACAGGACTGGAAGGGCCTGGACCCCCCAGTCCGTGTCCAGCTGCCTTTTACTGCAAACACCCAGACACATAAACCCTCAGAGAGCTGATCAAGCTCCATTTTAACAGTAATCAGATTTCTTTGTCCCATTAGTCCTCCTAGGAAGCTATCCCAAAATCTCACTGATCTGATGGTAGAAATCTAATTTCCAGCTTCGATGCATTCATGGCCAGTTCATCCTCATTTGTTCTCGAGCCAGCTCTGTCATCTCACTTAAATAGCTCTCCTCCCTCCTCGTGTTTACCTTGCTGTATTTATAGATGGCAATCATGCTCCCCCTCAGCATTCATTTGCTCAGATAAAAGCAGCCAAGCCTTTTTCCAGTCTTTTCTCATAGGCTCCCCCTTATCCTCCCACTTGTTTTCCTCCTGCCTGTGTTCCAGTCTGTGCTTCACTGGCACAACCACCCAGCCCCAAACACTGGGAAGGGTTTCATGTCTCCACTGGTGCTGTGTCTCAGCAGATTCAGTGGTTCACCTTCAGGACCTGAGCAGTGGCCAAATGTCTGTCTGGCAGAGGGGGAATAAGGAGGTGAGATCCTTTCCCCTGCTGAAGCCTGGCCCTGCTCCATCCTGTGCACGCAGACCCACGTCACAAACTGTCCCCAGTGCAGTGCTGGGCCCTTCAGCTCCTGCTAAAGCCTCACCCACCTCCTTCCCTCCAGAGGTGCCACCCTGGGAGCTGCAGCAGGGTCACACAGTGCTGAGAGCCCCCAGCCAGGGATCCTGGAGATGGGAGAGGGATGGAGAGGAGAGCAGGAAGGAAATAGGAATTATATGTGTAGAGTTGGGGCAGAAAAGAGAATAGGAAAAGGAACACGAGAAATAAAAAAGATAATAGAGTGAGGAGATCACCAAGAAAGGAGGGGAGAAAAGGCAAAATACACAGAAAAAATGGAGAGAAGGGCGGGGAAGCACAGGAGAGAAAACTCTCCTAAACCCTCCTCAAACTGGAGCAGGGCTCACAGCTGTCCTGCCTTTGTGCTTTGCCCAGGCTCTGAGAGAGGAATGGCTCCAGCCCAGCGCCTCCAGGCCTGATCTGTTGGAGCACAGGAAGGGTAAAACATCCTGGGCTCTGGCTCAGCACTTCAGATATTCCTCTGCCATTTTTTTTCCATTTTGCATCTGTGCTGGTTCCTTTGTGACCCCAGCTGGCACTATAAAGAAATGAATCCTCCAAGTACAACTTGTGCACATTTCTCTGCAGAAAGTGAGAATGGCACCAGGCAAACTGATTTGGAAATGAACTCGTTAAGGCAGCTATTAGGGCTTTATATGCTCCTTTGTCTTACTTGGCTGCAGAGCTGCAGACAGACAAAGTGTATTTTTGGCCATCCTCAGCTATTCAGCACTGCAAAGCGTTCTCATTAATAAGTGAGATGGTGGGAGATCTAAAGGAAATATCAGGCCATATATTTTGATAAATACCCTGCAAATATCAGTTCTATTGGTCTTTCAGTGATTATCAGGACAACCTGACTGACTACATTGGCCAGAGCTGCAGCAGGGAGAGCAGCTTCCAGGAGAGTCCCAAAGCACCACTTGGGGATTAAACCTTTCCAGCAGCTTAATTTTTGAAGTAGTTCCGTGAGAAGATGGCACTGTAGGCTGGGAATCCAGGATAGGTGCTGGCTTTGACCTTTTCTGAATTCATTTAAATTTCTGCAAAAGGATTAATGGTCCAGATGGACACTCATCCTAAATTTGACATTATGAGCGTTTGCACTTTCATTTTGGGGAGCAAAAATTCATGATGCAAGGGGACCATCTACATCAAAAAACATATTTGCACATCTGTCTAAACATTTCTCTGAGAAATCTCTGATGCCAGCCTTTTTATTACATTTTAATGAGATTTTCTTTTAACAACCAAGAAATTACTTACAGGAGCATATGTAGAGATATTTTAGCCTGTCTTATACAATACTGTCTTTTTTGCATTAATCTTGTTTGTATGGCATTCCAGTGAATAGTCACATTTGGATTAAGGTGACACAGCCTGAAATACCATCATTTTTAAAGCTGACAACCTTGATGAAATCAACTGCTTTTCCTTTTTCCCCTGCTCCCTCTGCTTTGCCCCACCTGGGCTTATTAAAGCTCCAAAGGAGGAGCTGTTTTACCATTTGCCATATCTAAATTTACTGCTGAAGTGCTGAATTGAGTCACAGTGTTGTTCATGAATGGTCTGAGGGAATCATTTACAACAAATGATAAGGAAGGTGATCCTGGTTGTTCAGTGATAGGGTTGGAATAGCTCTGCTGGAGAGCCAGGAGTGACAGCAGAGCTCCCAGAATGTCCCTGGATGAGTCAGGACAGTCCCAAAGCACCCCAGGTACCTTCTTGCATACTTCTGCTTGTCTGTGTCAGCAGGGAATTTGTGTGTCTGATGTGGGAAACAATGAAACAGCAAAGTGAGATTGCTGATTAATGCTTCATTGATTTACTGGTGTTGTGTTAATGGATAATTATATTTATTGAGTTATTTATCTCTTCTGAGAAGCAAACATAGCTCAGAGTTGCTAAGACACCAAGTCCTGCTGACCCAGAGAGGAATCCAGTTCCCATTCCCAGAGCTTGGGAAGATACAGGGAGGGGAAAGCCAACCTTTCAGTGTCTGGGATGTCAGGAATGCTTCCCTGGAGTTTGAAATCATGCTGGCAGTCAACAGGGCCCGAGAGACATTGCTTTGGTTGATTTCCTTGAACTGATAAGAACATTGCTACAGTGGGGTAGGGTAATATCTACCTTACAGGAGCTGTTTCCATCCAGATTACTGGGAAAGAAGCGTGAAGTCACCCCACATGAGAGAGTGTGGTAGCTTGGATTGGAAAAACAATGAACACTGCTGCTACCTTGGGATATATCTGGGAAGAAAACAAGTCATCACAAAATACTTTGGAGCCACAACAGTTCTTAAGAAGCTGAAAACATGGTAGAGACAATCTTGTTTAGAAATCTTTGTTGGAGTACTGAGTGTTCTAAAACATTTGCAGATGCAATCTATCCTGCATTATGGTGTGAAGCTCTTGACTATTAGCATTAAATATAAGAGAAAAAAAGCAAAATATTTAAATAATACAGTGTTATCTTCTTGAAGATGTTAAAGTAATTCCTGACAGTCCAGCTGCTCTACAGGTGAGGGGAGGGAGGCAAGACTCAGGAAATGCATGGGCTGCAACACAGCTGCCCCCTTAGTTTCACCTATGGAATTGCCCCTGGGCAGTCTTGACGTTGAAACAAATGAAACCTTTTTGTTACAAAACCAGGAGTAATGTTAGAGATCAAGGTGCTATAACTGTACCAAGGAGTCCAGAACATTTAGTAAAATGTAAAAACCAGAGTTTTACATTGTGTGCAAAGGCTTTTTAAAAACCAAAGCTGGAGCCCTGAAAGGCAAACCTGGGCAGTTCCATTGTATGCTCAGAGACATTTTATCTATTTCCTCAATTTAAGTTATAAACACATCTACCAAGCAGAATAATTTACCAAGAAAGGCATCATATTTATCCTGGCAGTTCTAATGAAAACATCAATCCCAATCTGGTTCCAGCTGCATAACAAATGGATACATATTTCAAAGTACCATCAGGAGAAGGGATGGAAAATTTCAACTGGAGCAGCATCATTTAAACAACGGGGCCCTGTAAGGAGTAAATGGATGGGATTTAATAAAGCATGGGCTCAAACTGCAGGCAGAGAGGTTGGTTGTGGGGAACACCTTCATGTCAAAGGGTAATGAAGTGTTGGGGTGGCTGCTTGAGCCCATGACCGCCTTTACTGGAGTCTGGCAGTGCTGGGTGAGAAAGGACAAGGACCTGGCTGGCACTGGGGTCCCCAGCCACCATCACCATCCTCTCCCTGCCCTCTGCATTCACCTCACTCTGAACATGCACTTTGCTCTGCTGACATCTTGTGGAGATCTAGACTGAGCTTAATTTACTGCAGAATATCCTGTTTCCAAGAAGTGGGTTTATCTGCAGGGTGTCTCTTACATAAGGGCTGTGGCTCAGGGCTCAGGGAAGCTGCTCCTGCATGTGCAGCTCTGACTGAGCACTTTTCTGCTGAAACATGCAAAGGGATTTTCGAGGTCAGCTCTATTTTGTGTTAAGTGCAGAGCCTTTGAGTCCCAGCTGTTTTCCAGAGCCGCTGCTAACAAATTAGATCAGGATGAGATTCCAGAGCTGAAGTCTTTGCATTGAACATCTGTCAGCCAGGCTGCCGGGGCTCTGCCACCTCCCCCAGCTACAGCTCTGTGACATTTACAATCAAACCAACAGGAAACACATCTCTCTTGGGGTCTGCCAGTGGGAACTGGGGCTGGAACCCACCCCTCATGTCAGTGTGTGCCCCCCACCAATACAGCTTTGAGTGGGCTCAGGGGCCTTGGCTCAAGGGCCCATCCTCCCTCCCCATAGCCCATGGTCCCAGTTAAACACAGACACTTGGATCTGTGGCTTTCTGTCCTGGAAGTGTTGGTGGAGTCCCCCTTGCCTTATGCACTGGCTGTGGGCAAGAACCAGCTGGAAGGAAGAGCCAGGAGCCTCTGGCTGTGTCACTGATGTCACCGGGAGCCACCTGAGACAACGCCAGCTCTCACCCAGCTCAGCTGCCTGGAGCTTGTTTTCTGCACCCAAAATGAGCTGAAATAAAACTCTGCCAGAGTGCTCTAGTGCTTAGCACAGTGTTGAATTAATGACCCTGAGCTTGTACACATCCCCCAAAATCCTTTTCTTCCCCTCCCTTGCATGCAGCACCCTGAACTCAGAATTACTCCTTCTACACAGTTCCCTTTGGTCGATACTTAAGTAGCCACCCAGGCTGATTTACCTTGATAGCACAGTCCATTTTCTACACATTTATTCATGAAGCTCTTGTAACTGCTGGCTGGAAATACATCAAATTCAAATCTAATGCTATCCCTGTTTAAAAAACCCAACAAAAAAAACCCCAAAAAAACCCAACCCACAAAAAATCTCTCTCTTCCCAAAGATGATAATTTGATTCTGGTCTGAACAGTAAGGAAAGACTTCAATGCCTAAAGGAAAGGGAATTAGGCTGAGCTACTGCTCTGAGCCTGGGCTGTGGGGTGCCACAGAGAGCATCAGTCCCCATCCTGCAGGACAGGATTGTGGAAACTGGGCACCAGCCCAGCCAAGAAAAAGGGAATAAGTGAGCACTCTGCAGTAAATACAAACGCAGACTTCTCAACTGCTAAATGGAACTGCTTCCTTCTCTTTGTGTGGGTCTTCTCTGCCCACACAGTGTCAGAGAGACGGCTGAAGGCTCCAAACAGGAGGGTTCACTCTGCCACCTCCCACCAGCCATCATCTGCAGATCATTTCTGGAAGTGTCTTGTCTAGGCTTCAGGATCCACGATGCTTTATTTGTGTCGAGCTTTGCTTAGCTCTTGGCTCTCAGCAGAGGATTCACCCATACCAGAAAGTTTGCTAAGACCTTGATAAGACCTCAAACATCACTTCAGCCCATAGCCAAGTCTTCGTGAAAGTCCCACCAAGAAATCTCTGCTTCTCTCCAGCACTACCACACACTTTTCCCTTCTGGCCCCATCTCCTTGAACTAAACAACCTGCACTTTAAAATCTTTTTTGGATGTAGTGCACTTGTCATGCTGGGGAGCACCATTTTGATTTTAGGCTTATTTGGGAAAGTTTGCTCTTAGATCTGTGTGTTGAGGATAAGCCCTCCCAGCAAGGGTGGTTTTCTTCTCTGGCTGCTGGGCAAAGTGTGTGTTTTGCTGCCACATCCTTGATCCAAAAATGCAAAAGAGTCCAAGGGCTGCCCAGGGGGTTCCCCTTCCTCATAATCTCTCTCACACACATGCACAGATTATCAGCCTCACAAGAGCTGAGGACATAAAGACCAAAAACATTCTCCAGAAATAAATGTGCAGGAAGAAATTGCTGCCTCCAGGAGCTAGGGATCTGTGCATGTGAGTCTATTCAGAAACAACACCACCATTGCCCAAATAAGAGTAAACAGGCAAAACAACAACTGGTCATTCAGGAGAGCCATGAGAGCCATAATGTTACAACCCACAGAGGACAGGATGCTGCAGCCATCCAGGTGGATTTCCTGTCAAAGTACATGGATTTACATGGGATTATATCCATTGGACAAGTACATCTACATGGTATTCTGCCCTTAATCCTCAAGCAAAGCTGCAGGTGAAGGTTGGAATCCCTGTTCCCTCTGTGCAACATTGCTGCTGTCCTTCAGCATCCTCTGTAACACACGTGTGCACACCTGCCCTCAGCCACACAGGTGTTGTCTTGCCAGTTCCTTTTCTGTGAGCTTGTCTCACCTCTCCACTTTCTGCTGAGGAAGGTGCACATCAGCACCTTTTCCTGCCTCTCTGCTCGATGGAAGAGAAGCAGCATTGTCAGGGCCAAAGCTGGGGCAGCTACTCAAAGTCTCACTGGGGGATGTACTGGAGGACAGTCAGGATTTGGCAGGGAGTTTTCAGAAGCTCTTGTCTAGAATTTGCAAATGCCCTTCTACAAAGGGCAAAACCCAAAACTTGAAACAATGCTGGTACCTGCAGGCAAGTTTTAATGAGCTGAAGATGGTGCAGTGTGTTTCTATCTTCTTAATCTTCCTCTGCAAGCTCAGATGGCAGAGTTTTCCAAGGGGAAGGAGGAAGAAAACTGTCCTTGTGACCTCCAGAAAGAGATGCCCGACCCCACTCTGCTGCAGCTTCCTGAGTGATACAATTTCTAGTGCTACAAGGACTGCACAAGGTAAGAGGAAAGAAAAGGCCCAGTCTCTGCATCCCCATCACTGACTGAGATGAACAGGAAAGAACCATTATCCAATTTCTTTCTAGAGATGCCCATGAAACAAATCCCTCCTTCCTGTTTGAGCTTGTGAGGATCTGGTGTTCAGGTTCTTAACAAACTTTATGCACGATTTTTACAAACTGACCTGACACAGAGGAGCAATGCCACAAGGGCCAGATCTAAACTCCCAGCTCAAGGACCAAAAGAGATCCCAGGTTCAGTGCAGATGAGGGATGTGATCCCTCAGCTTTTTAGGAAGTATCCAGGAATTCAGCATCTTCAAAATACTTTTGTTCCTCATGGACTTAAGTATCATATGGCATCAGGTGGCTGCACCTGAGAGGAATGTGGTGAACATCTGTTTCTTACCCAATTGGGCAGCTTAAGCAAGAGCCAACTAATTTAAAATTCAAAAATAAGAAGGAATGAAAGGAGATCCATGATAATTTCTGCCCCAATTTGTAGCTTTCAGAAGCAGGAATCCTCTGCTGAGTGGTCTAGGTATGAATCTAGTCAATGGTGTTCAGCAGAACACCATGTGTTCAGGGACACACCCTGGCAGGAAAATGTCTCTGGCATGAGGAGTGAAGTCTCCGTGCCATGAGAAGCCCCGTGATTAAGTTCCAGGTGTTACTATCATTGGCTTAATGGGAGAGGCTCCTTCCAGGCACATCCTTGGCAGAGAAGTCCATAAAAAGCTTCCAGCTGTGCCACCCTGAGACAGCAAAAAAACCCAAGGGGCCTTGAACATTTTGAGTAGAGAGCAGAAAGAAAAAGGCACTGCAGGTCCAGAGCTGCTGGGCCAAACTCTGCCTGCCCCAGGGGCTTGTACTTACTTGGACTTGGAGTTTCAGACATTTAAAAGGAAGAGAAGAAGTCAGAGGGCAGTAAACTCTGAGAAGATCCCCACTGAGAGAGTGGAGAAACCAGAGGGAAGTAAAGCCATTTCCTGCCTGGCATCGTACCTGGTATTGGCCAGAGAGGAATGAATAAGAATGACAGCGTTGAAAAGGAGATCACATCCTCCAAAATTTAGACAATCTGTCAAGAAAAGCTGTCCTCCACAGCAGTAGCAGAGGATAGAAAGAAGGAAGAATGCTTTGATTCTGAAGTCTTCCTCTTCCTCTCTCCTGCTTTCCTCAGCTCTTGGGAAGACGATTCCCACCAGCTGTGTACGTGACAAGGACTGGTCTGCACACAGCAGAGAGTGACAACAAATAGACACCTCAGATCATAAACTGCAACACAGACAAAACCAAAACTTCAGGACTGACCCAGCAAATCCCATTCCTCAAACAAAAAAAGGCTTCCCAAAGTTTCACAAAGAAAGCATCTCTGCACCACAACAGGAGTACACATGACTCATTCCATGCAGCTTATTTCCTGCCTAGGTATAGCCCATCTCAACTTCCACACAGAAATCAGCTTAAATCAGCTTTATATTTGCTTTCCTGTCCCATTTATGTGTTTAAAGATCACGGTATTCTGAGGAAGAATGGAAGTGTCATTATTTTTGAAGCTCAATAACACATGTTACACATCACAGAAACTTGTATTTCCCCAACAGACAGGAATATGAGTCTGGATTTGATTAACATAAAAAGACCCTTACCAGAAAGTGAGTAATCTGTATTAGTCATCCTCATGGCTGGAGTGTAAGATACACTTGGCATGTCATGGCCCTTCTCCTTCTGTTTCCGTCGATACCACACAAAGAGTGCCAGCAAGACCATAATAATTAGAAGGAGAATAATAATTCCAATGATTGCTCCCACTGAGTGCCTCTCTGATCCAAGAGCAGGGCTAATTTTAGTATAGGGGTTTAATTCTTCCATCATAAGAGCCGCTGTTAAAAGTAATTCATAACACATTGTAAATTGAATCGTGCATTTCATTTTTGAAACACTGGTTTTTTTTAAGGCAAGTACATCATTGGAGAGAGGGAGAGAGAGAAGGAGAGAGGGATTTTATAGAGAGAATTCCACTGTACCTTGATCACATCGGATTCCTTTGAAGCCTGGACTGCAGTAACAAGTGCCTGTGACGTGGTCACACGTTGCATTGTTCATGCACTCACACAATTGTTTGCAACCATAACCAAATGTTCCTGGAGAGCACTCTGGGGAGCCAAAGAAAAACATTGGAAAGAATTCTACTGTTTTTGGGAATGGGCACAACACTTGCCATGGGAAATTCAGTAGAGAAGTCTCCAAGCTTTTAGGATCTCTAGGACAACACCCTAATGTGAAATTATCAGTCTAAATAAGAAGCTAAATGTATTCTTTGTGCAGTTTGTTACTTATTAAGTTGTTACTTTCTGGAAAATTCATGGAATGAAATCAGTGACAGGTACAAAGGCTTTAGAAGACTTGATGGATATTACAAATGTTCAGAGTTTAACAGAACTTGAGCTCAGAAGCTGTAGACAAGAGCTCAGCATTCTTCACCAACCTACCTGTTTGGTTTTTTCATGGGGGGAGTTGCAAAGAAAAGTTTTAATGAACCTTTTTCTGAACCCAACAGCCTTTACCAAACAAACCCCACATGCTTTCCTACTCATCCCTACCAGTGCCAGGAGGTGAACAGAACATTGCAGGTGGAATTTCAGAACTGGGCATGTGAATGGGTTGATTTGCTCTGCTTTGGTGTCAGGATTCCTAATGCTGAAGGAATTTCTATCCTGTCTTTGTGTTTCTATCAAAGACAAAATGATTTAATGTCCAGCTGAGAAATTTATTCATACAATTACCATGATGGGCTATTACAATAAATCTGTAGGCAGCTTACTGTACTTCTGGAAGCACTACTCAAGAATAAATTGAAAGAAACAATGTCTGTCACATCCCACTTATTTCTATGGAGAAGCTGCATTACTGAAAACCTGCCCCCTTGCTATGATCCTGTGGAATATATTGTTCCAGATGTGACTCCTTGTGTGTCACTGCAAATGTTTTTCATTGCATGAGAACACCTCCACAATGTCAGTCTCAAAGTAGCTTCTGGTAGCCAAAATTTAATATTAAGTAGAGAACCATATCCAGTATCTGTTTATTGATTTGCAGTGTGTATTAAAATTGTATCTTTAGTCTGTTGGTACTCAAACAAAGAAATAAAATTATTACAATTAATGCTCATTCTTTTATTAGCCTGCAGCCTACTTAAAATGAATAAGGCCTAAATTTTGGGACTGCACCACAGAAATGATGCCTGCAATTAAGCATTTCATCTGCAATGCAGTGTGACTGCCCATTCAGCAGGATTTGGAGAAGGAAGGCGCCTTAATGAAGAGATTCTTATAGATTAAACAGTCGAAAAACAAGTAAATAAATACATTTGTAGTTTGGATAGAGAAGAAAGCCTCAGGCTTTATACAAGGGTCAAATAATAAAGCAGCTCCTTGTATAAAATGTGCTATTGTGCAGTTCTTTGTGGGATTCTTTAGTTTCCTGTTTTGATTGTGGCTGCAGTAAAGGGTGTCCCCAAATTCCAGAGAGTTGGCCACTTACAGAGTTACAGTGGTGCCACATGCAGTTCCCATGAACAGACAAATTTGGCCATGAGATACTCACTTTACTGAATGCAAGTGTGTGCAAAAACATATTTATGAATTAAGTCCCATGCACAAATACTTCCATAAAGATCCACGTAGGCTAAAAAGCCTTCCCTTGCAAATCTGTCAGGAATGTTACTAAATTACCTTACTGCCAAAAAAAGTGAGGGAACCCTGTGGAATTAATGCCTTGGGAAGATGAGGTGGCTTTCACCTGTGTTTAGAATCCCTGTAAGTGTGTGAGAATTTCCTTGTGAATTACTGCACTGGACAAACAGGTAATTATCCACTTACAGCACATCCAGTTTCCAGGACCCTCATTCAGTGTTCTTTAGAGAAGCCATTTGGTACAGCCTGCTAAATATTCCAGTGGGACATGGACAACAATTCCAGTAAGACATTCCAGGTCCCTTGCAAGGGGATTGATGTTCATTGTGAAACTCTCAGTGCTCAAGCTAAACACAGACCCTTCCCAAAATGGCAAGCGACCTTGTTTCCCTTGATCTGCTTTCACTGTAAAGATGAATCTTTATTTGGTCCATATCTACATCATAATTTCTGTGGGGAAGCCCCATATCCCAAATATTCTTTGGAAGGCAGAGAGCAGAAAAGACTAATTCTTTTTAACCCTTCTGTCTCCATGCACTGGGAAATGTGGGGCTGCTGCTCTCAGCAGCACTCACAAGGCCTGAGGCAGCTTTAGGGCTGGGTGTGCATTAATCAGGTACAAGCTCTTTGGGAAGGCCCCATCCAGTCAGCACTGAGTGCAGTGATTTGCCTTCTCTCACCTCACTTTAGCCTGGGATTGAAAGGCCCAATTTTTAGGGATCCATTGAATTTCTTTATGCTTAGACCGCTCAGTTTCCCAGAAGTGCCCTCTCCTCCCTATGGATTATATAAGGTGCCTGGGGTCATTGTCCTGCTGACATCAACACCTCATTTAAGAGCCTGTGTGTGCAGGAATTCTGAAACACACTCCCCTCTCTGGAGAAAGAGAGGACTGAGGTCGCTGGTACTCACTCTGCTCACACTGTTTGCCTGTAAATCCCGTCCTGCACGTGCACTGCCCAGTGATGTGGTCACAGTCGGCTCCGTTCTGGCACTGGCAAACATTGGCACAGTTCTTTCCATAAAAAGCAGCTGGGCAACCTTTCAGCAATCAGAACAAGGAAAGAGTAAAAAATAAGCTGAAAGCCAGACTCAGATGTGTTATCAGCACAAAGTATGTGGGCTTATAAATATATGGATTTTCATCCTCTGTATATTTAATGACATTTATTTGATGGTCTAAATGCAGAGATACTGTGACAGCCAATTTTCTTGAAGTAATGTTTCTCATCTTTACAGAATTGCCTCTTAAGTGTTTCAGAAGAATGAAAACTTGACCCATCTATACAAACTAAATTTTCAAGAAGTCGAAGAAGATGCTAAACAGAAACGCTCTGGAAGACCAGGGATCAATCAATTACTTGCAAGTGAAAGAACCTTCTTAAAAGGCTCACCAGAATTGGATCTCCTCTTTCATACTGGTAATTTGGCACTAGGGTGAGAAATCTCTAACACTTTCCTAAATCAGACCACAAATACTGAGGCATTAACAAGCCTTGCACAGTCTGTGCAAATTCTAACAATGAATCAATAATCTAAATGATTTCCCCCTCCTTTACCGAGTGCCAAAGGCATAAAAAACCTTGGAAAGCTTCAGGACTATTTTTTCGGGGTGATGTGAGGTTATCAGGAGCAAGGAGCATGGGATTTTCCAGGGGAAACTGCAATACTTGGAAGAGACACGAGGTAGCAGCACACACTTTGACAGGTTCCCTGTCTCTGAAAGGCTTACGCTGAGTGCAGTAGAGCCCCGTCCAACCATGGGTACATCTACATTCTCCATCGTAGGGGCTGCACAGTGCTCCGTTGTGGCAGTTGCATGAATGAAAGCAATCAGGGCCCCAAAACCCAGTGGGACAAGCTATGAAAATAAAAAACATTTGTCAGCTGACAAAAAAGAAAGCAATGATACTGAGTTAGTGCTGTGGAGGAGCAACAATAAAGGGAGAACCTGTGAGACACCAGCAAGGGCAGAAGTTTGCCCTGCTGAGCTTGGCAGTGACTCCTGGACTGTGAGCAGTTGTTCCTGCACAGTGGCTGGTCCTTCCAAGCCACCAATTGCTCTCCAAACCCTGGTGCCACCCTGTAACCTCCCCCTGGCACTGGGATTTCTCCCAGCAGGTGGATGGAGGGGATTCTGCCTGAGACCCCACCTGCAGAGCTGCCTCCAGCCTGGAGGAACAACAGCAGAAGGATTTGGAGCTGCTGGAGCAGGTCCAGAGGAAGCCACGGAGATGCTGCAAAGGCTGGAGCTCCTCTGCTCTGGAGCCAGGCTGGGAATGTTCACCTGGAGAAGGAAAGGCTCCAGGGAGAGCACAGAGCCCCTTCCAGGGCTTAAAGGGGCTCCAGGAGATCTGGGGAGAACTTGGGGCAAGGACTGGAGAGACAGGACACAGGGAATGATTTCCTGCTGCCAGAGGGCAGGGTTAGATGGGATACTGGGAAGAAATTCCTTCCCTGAGAGGGTGGGCAGGCCCTGGCACAGGGTGCCCAGAGAAGCTGGGGCTGCCCCTGGATCCCTGGCAGTGCCCAAGGCCAGGTTGGACAGGGCTTGGAGCAGCCTGGGACAGTGAAGGTGTCCCTGCCATGGCAGGGGTGGAATGGGATGGGCTTCAAGGTCCCTTCCAAGCCAAAGCATTCCAGGATTGTTCCATTCCATGATCCTCTGTGCAGGGCAGGGGGCAGGATCAGCTCTTTGCTGCAGTGAACCAGTGACCCTTGACACGACCCCACTCTGGGCTGTGGCTGCTCTCCCTGCCTCAGTGGCATTATCTATGAGGACAAGTTAGGCAGGGCTGCAGGATATGGAGGTAATTTAATTTTCTTTTTGACATGCTGGAATTCTTGCATAATAAAGCCCAGCTATTCAGGTTTACTTTGCTATGCAATCAACCACTAAAATTACCACATTCATTTGAAGCATAGAGTGCTACTCCAATCATGTAAAAATGTAAAGAAAACTTCTTCCAGTATGAATTCCCATCCACAAATTCAGATTGCTTTTGTTGTTGGGGGCTAATATTAAATTTAAATCTCCGGGTCTGTTTTATATTTCAACAAGTACAATATTAATACATTAAAAAAAAAGTTATTTTAAGCCTCCCTCCAAAAATGAATGCAGTAAGTTACAGTTATTAGTGCCAGACTAAAAGATCCAAAATTATGATAGCCCTTCAATATAACAACTATATTTTTGCTTTAAAAAGCACTTTTCATTGCTTCCTGCTAAAGACATGAATTAATAAGGCACGGTTCCCAGGAAACCTGAAAAATACAGACACCAGGCCTATTTCCATGGATGCCAATGGCTCTGTGGATGATAAATGGAAGTTTCTGGCATTTGACAGACACCTCTAAAGCCAGATTGAATGGCCAAAAAAACCCTGCCATGACGTAAATCAAACAAAAGGTCACTGGACTCACACAACGTAAAGCTGAGCAGGATTTGGCCTGAAGTGTTTGTGCTACAAGCAACCAGAAATACTTTTCCACTGCCTTTCTGAGGCAGAGCTGCAGGAGCTGTTAGTGAATCCAGAACTGGCTCTAGAGTCAGAGCTAAAATTATCTCCAAGTCCAGGTCATTCCAGGTTAAGGGAGCACAGGGCCAGAAATAGCCCAGGAGGGGAGGTCAGGAGCCCAGGGGAGCCTGCAGTGGGACAGGGTCACCCTGGGAGAGGTTCCTTTGTGTGCAAGGAGTAACTGAGCAAAGAACCCATCCTCCTCTGCTCATCCAGAGCACAGAGCGCCCACAGGCAGCTCCTGCCTCCTAAACCAGCCCTGCTGGCCTGGCCTGCCTCGCTCTGTAAGGAAAAGCATCTCTTTTCAAGGTTAACACACATTTCCCAATTAGATGGCTAAATGTAATGAGGAATATGTGCAGCTTTCTGTCTTTTTTTTTTCCTTTTTTTTTTCCTGCTGTTTTTGACTGACAGCAATATTCTGCCTGTGGAAGACACACAATAAAAGCAAAATTACAGCTGTCTGTTTTTATCCGATTCCTGCTTTATCACTTGGAGTTTAATATATTTTACTCTGGAATGCTGTCTAATATGCTAGTTGTATCCTGAATATGAAGTAACATTTCTGAATGATCGGATATTGCCTCCCTCTGTGATCCAGCTTCAATTAAGGGATGCTCTCAGGAAATGACACTTTGGGATCAGCAAATGCCAATCTTCTACCTGGGCAATTTTCAGAAAGAAATCCTTCATCCCTACAAGGCCACATTGACTTTTACAATTAAATTACATTTAATAGAAATATTTCAGCCGCCTAATTTCTCAATTCTAGGGATTTGGTACATGAAAACATTTACTGGTTAATAATGTCTAAATGTAATAGCTGAAAGAAAATGATTTCAAAAAAAATAAATAAAAAGGAATCCAGCTAGAAATTAAAAAGGAGCATGGAGCTTTCTTTTCTGATAAGAGCTTGTGACCTCCCTTTCCTGGAATAAAAGCCAGTCACAGCTTCTGCAAACTCCAAATGCAGAAACTAATTCAATCCAAAGCTAACTTAGATTAATTAAAAGAAATCAGCTTTAAAGAGAGTAAGGCATTGGTTGTAATACAACAGGGATTTCCCCAGAATCTGTCTTTAACTTTCAGAAAGCACCAAACAAACACAAAAATATGATCTTTGAAGGCAGAGGTGGGAAAATGGCCCTTTACTTACTCTGGGAGCAGTCCATCCCTATCCAGCCCGGGAAGCACTGGCACGATCCATCGATGGGATTGCAGGTCCCGTTCTCGGTGCACTGGCAAACCTCGGCACAGCCCTTCCCAAACTTCCCACTGGGACACACTGAAAACACAAAGCACTTTATTGCAGCCTCTTCAAAAGGAATGTGAGGAAATCACAGGACTCGACACTTAGCAATTAGAGATAAAATTAATTACAACGTTCTTTTCTTTGATGAAACAAAATTCCTCTGGAAAGCAGGAAAAGGCAGAAAGTAATGGAGCCCATTTTGCTTGCATCCCAGGAGTAAAAACAATAGGAAAAAGTCATATCAAAATCCGTTTTTCTGCTGGAAAATGAGGCCAACATAGTCAGAAGATTGCAATTATTGAAGGGCAGTATGGAAGGATGACAAGAGGAGAGAAAAAACAGAGAAGAGGGGTCACTAGGAGAGGAAGAGAACAAGAAAAACTGAGGAGAATTCAGTGAGTAGCAGCCACAAGTGAGTGGCTGGGACTGCTCTGGTTTCCAAGGATTTTTTATATATATATACATACACACATATATATATAGATACACACATATATATTTATGTATGTTATATATCTGACTGAGAGCTATTTAACAGATGTGCTGCATCCCAACAAAATCAGCACCTCTCCCTGTGTGCCCACCTAAGTGAAGTTGGAAGAAAAGAAAGTCTAAATTTTTTTTCCAGAGTCATCTTCTCACATCCTAAGCACAGTGACAGGAAACTAATAGACATGTAGATCTTCAACCTCCCACCAAATTATTGGAAATCTTTAACGTTAAAGTTGATGGAAAGCTCTGCTTAGTAATGAATGAAATGTTTCATTTCTGGGCTCTTATTGGCTGTGTTCCCTGACAAAAACAGATGTATTTTCAAAACAAGATAAAACATACAGTCCATCTTTGCAAAGAGAGTAACAAATGGAACTGGACTTGTATCCTGGTAAATAATAGCGATGTCAAAAAAGTGATTAAGGCACTTGCCTGAATTATGCAGCTGTTTTACCACTTCAGCCTCTCTCACTTTCTCAAAAGTAGTCTCTGCAGGTGACCTCAATCTATCCTGACTGTGAATCAGCCACAGATTGAAATCCTGAGCTGTGATTCATTGGCTTTTATATAATATGCCATCCTCTGCTCTTACTACAGCAGAGAATTGTTTTCTGCTTGTGTTTCTATAGGACTTATCTGTAGGAGTGGATAAAGTTGGGTTTGGCTTTCACACTGTGTGCTAAACAGAACAGTTCCTAAGTGAAAAGAGATAAGACTAAACACAATATACAGCAGCCACGATGGAGAGAATGCAGAGAGAGAGAAGGAAAGCAGAGCTCTGCTATCACAGACAGCAAAACCTGAACTGATCTGTCAGCCCAGGCTCTTGGACAGGCCACACCATTATTCCCTTCCAGCTCCTGTTCTATGGTTTTTTTCCCTACCAGGCACTGTTTTATGGCATCTTTGAGATGGAGGGTGGTGCTTTGGCAGCACCACCTTGATGAAGGCTGGGGTTTGTATGTACAAAAACCATAATTCTCAAAGGACTTCCTTAGAAGAGGAGCTGGTTTGTTCTACACCATGGAATACTGATGGATGAGGGCAAGATCTGTGATCCAAACACAGCTGCTGGCAAAGGGATCAGGTCACACTTTGGTGCTTTTGTGCACACAGGCAGAGCTGGCAGAGGGGTTCCCTCCACAGGAGCTCCTCTTGTCTCTGGGAAATGGGATGATGCCCTCTGGAATGTCAGCACAGAGGGATGATGAAATGGTTGTTCTCCCTAATTTAAACAACCTGGTTGTGGACTGACAGAGTGACTCTTGTGAATATGTGAGATCCAAATTCAAGCACTTTTTAAATGTCTCAATCATTTTTAGAGAGCTGTAAAACAAGGCCTAATGCTGCTTTCTTCAGCAGCAACGTGACTGTACAACACAGATTGGGATGTTAATTAGCTCAAAAAGCTCTGAAGTGGGACTCCCAAAGTCCCTGTGGGATGTCAGGTGTGTTCTAGCAGTGATAACAAGTTATTATCAACCCATCTTGCTCCATGATTGTGAAGGATATTCATAAAACAGCTGTTTAGCTGTTTGCAGCTCAGAATCCTTGGCACAACTGAGTCAACCTGTGCAGTTCTGGGGGTTACACAGCTCCTCACATGCACATACTGCTGGTGGAAGAAAGTTCCTGCTGCCAGTGGCACAAGGAGATAAAAATTCCAAAGTGAAATCTTCATTTCACGTTTTTCTAATGGAAAATTAATTAGCATTTTTCTTTCCACAAAATAAAGTTACATGTTAACTCATTATGACAAACTGCAACACAAATTGATTTTAATTAGGACATGAATATTTTAAGATTAATTTGCTGGATAGATCAACATTTCAAAGTAAAACCAGAAGTGCTGAACATCTGAGCAAAAAATAAAATAGTTTTCTTAAGAGGATAATTAGACCTGCTTATGCTTTGAAATCTGGCTAACGTTTCACATAAAATGGACAAATTCACTGAAATACGTTCATTTTAATAAATTAATTGGTGTAATGTTTAGTTGACTATACAGCACAGGAAAAAAAAAACCCCAAAAAACCATGGTTATACTTAATCTATGTTTAATGATTTTGGGTAACTGCTGCCTGCAATCCCAACTTACTGCAAAGCAGGTCATTGAAAGTGTCATTCAATTTTGGCAGGGATGGTGACTTCACAGGGGCAGTGGCCACTACAAATCACTTCTTTTAAATATCTGTGTAGAAACCTCCACTGCAGCACACAGCAACTGAGAGTGCTGAGTGATTTTGTGGGTATTTTTAGGATGAAAATGAAACATGGATTTAAATATAGAACTTTCAAAGGTACAGAAAGGTGATGGGTGTTTGGGGGAGCTGAAGTTCCTCTTCACCTGTGAAAATGAACTCACTTCTCTGCCTCACTGTAAATTTCCTGTCTCCTGCACTTGTGTCCATGGTTTTAGCTATTCCCAGCCAGGTCCTGCATGGTGGAAATGAGGTTTTGTGCACAACTGGGTGCTTGGGATTGTTCGCCTGAGCTGGCCTTTACCTGAACCGGCACCTCCCCATCCTGCTGCAAAGATCACATGAAGTGCTGTCAACATTCAGGTGAGGAGCAAGAAAAATGAAGCCATTGGATGCTGATGTATTTACAGCAGGTGTCCCATTCCACAGTCATTTCAATCCAGTGTGGCAGACCTGGTTTATTTATGAAACCAGAAGCACATCGTATTTACAAGAGGGTGACTGAGTACCTGCTAGCCTTTTCCCTCTGAAATAAAGATTTTCTTGGGATCTAAACTGCTGAAACAAGGGAAAAAGGCAGAAACCATGGGATGGGACTCGCTGCAGAGGCACAGCCACTCAGGAAGGGAGGTGGCACTGGGGTGGTACCTTGGTTGCAGAGAGGGCCGGAGAAGCCCGGCAGGCAGTCGCAGTGTCCGGACACGTGGTGACAGGGACCGCTGCTGTGCACGCACTGGGGACACGGCTGGCTGCAGTGGTGGCCGTAAAACCCAGGGGGGCAAACTGAAAACAGAACAAACCAAGCTGTCACAGGTTTTCCAACGTTTTCTCATCACTGAGAGCTCAATAATTCTCTGTCTGTCTTAATCCCAAACCAATATTTCTTAATTTATCAACCACAATTTTGCGGACAGCTGAAATGATGAGGCCTGTTGGATTGTTCCATGTCTAATAAAGTGCAGGCTCTGGGTAAAACTGCTCCTGTGTTCAAACATTCCCACCTTTCTTCCTCATGGAAGTCCTTGGCTATTTAATACCACAGCAGAGTTCTCAGCAGCCTCTCTCTCTCAGGACACTCATTTGAGTCTCTCTAACCTGAAATCTTTGATAAAACAGGAGTTTAAGATGTTCCAGACCTCAGAGCCTACTGCAGATATGGTTAATAACACATTCCAAAGACTTTAGGGTAGATAGGAAAAGAAACACTGGCACATGGGTACAGACAACAGAAACTCAGAAGGAAATGGAAATTGAGTCAAGAAATCAGAGAAGGTGTATTAGGAATCAATATTTTATGTCAAAACAACTATGCCAAAAGCTGTGTGGTGCCTGTGCTAAGCTGGGGCAGTCATTTACACATTTCATGGCAGGAGCAACAGCCATCAAGTGATGAACAGAATCTATTAATGAGAATTATGTAACACCACAGAAAATCACCTGACTTGCATCAGTAATCACACCAGATAGCTGAGTAAACTTGCCATGACTTATGTGCTTGTTTTGCCTAAAACCTGGATTGAAATTATTACAGAATTTGTACATCAGGTTTAGAGTCAGGATTACAGCTCAGTAGCTCTTTTAAAAGCAGATTTTTGCTTTGTGGAGTATGTAGAGTGAAAAAACATCCACTGTCTAAACATTCACTGCAATAGATAACACAAAGAAATGTTAAATTGAAGTAAGTGACAGTAAAAATAACTTTATATGTTTTTATTTTTACTCCTGTGATTCTCTCTTCTATAGTTCTGGCTCAGTGGTTACTAAATCATGTCTGTTCTATTTTTCCAGCAAATGAGAATTTTCTCTTGGACTGTATGTTCTCAGAGGATGTCAGGCTCTTACCCCACTGCACATTTCCAGCTGGAGCTTAGCTGACAGGTTGGTTGATGATGCAGTAGCTATAAAACAACCTGGATCATTCCTGGAGACATTTCTGCAGTCTTAAGAGCACTAAAGCATCCCAGTGTCTCATGTAATCCTGATTACACAGACAGAACAAGTTGGCTGAGTATCACCTTCAGTATCATCCTCAGCTCTGCCTTGTACAGCCTAAATTCTGTTTCTAAATGAATTTCTAAGAGAAAAATGTGGATGATTTTGAGAACAAGCTTAGCAAGGTCTCCTGTTCACCAGGTATTCTTGAGCCTGAATCCCAGAAAAGAGGTGGAAGAAAGCTGGATTGCCAGGCCTCACAGAGGCAAGAGCAGGAGCATCCACAGGATCCCTCTGTGATCACCCCAGTGGGGAGGAAAATTTCTCCCCATGAGATCCTCAGCAAACATCCTCAGGGAGCAGCCTGATTCCTTGCCTTGCAAACTGGCCACAAGGTTTGCTCTTGTAGCCTGCATGCCAGCAGCTGACAGAACTAAACTGGGTTTCTTTCATCTCAGAAAGGTCAGAAACTATTAACTTCTGGAAGTTTTGCACTCTTCAGGTTTTCAAATTTGTAAAACATTTTCTTCCTCATCTCCCTGAAGCTCTGAGCACCACATTTTAGCCTTGGTGAGAGGTTTTACAGCTACACAGATATGCTGAAGCACCTGGAAATTGGGGTTTATAATGGAAATGCTTATAGACCATTAACTACAGCAGTGCTAGAGGTCATTGTTATAATGGCTTTAAATAAAAACTGTCAGCTGCAAATTATTTTTAGAGATGAGTGTGTTCTAATGTCAAGTGTAACTGGTGAAATCAAAGGGGATATATGAACTGGGCATGCAGAATGTCGAGGAGGAAGAATAAGAGGAAGAAGAGGAAGAGGAAGAAGAAGAAGAAAGAAGAAATGCTGACCAAGAAAGACATGGTCAAATCAACAAGATTTACTTCTTGTTTACATGGGAAGATGGTTGGTGTAGTTTGGATCAGTGAATTGGGGTCCCTATGGGGCAAATGCAGCTTCCCAGATAAAGCAGATGAGAGGATTTTTATCTGCTTGGTACATTTTAATATGTAGCAGCAGAGCATCAAACAGGAGTTATTTTGGGCTGCTGTGTTTCTTTTTCTGGTATATAAGAAAACATTGCGTTGTTATTTTGATGCCAATGCTCATCCACTTGTCATTATGTGAAGGGTGGTGGCTGACTCTGTTTAATAGATCTGACTTCACTGCAAATCTGTGTCCTGCCAGCTTTGGTTTGTAAAGGTGCTGTTCCTCCTTGCAGGTCACCTGTGACCTCCAGGTGCAGATCAGAAGAAGCACAAGGCACAGCTCTGTGCAGGAGAGCCTTGACTTCTTGATGAAGTTGCATTTTCAGGCTTTTTTACCCTTAGGAAGTCATGGGTTAAAGCAGCTCAGAAACTGTGGTTTTGTCTGTCTGGTGTCATAAAAGAGCATTTCTACCTGCCTTGCCTCTACCAGCTATGGAAAATCTTACTTCTCTGGCACAAGGGTCCTCTGTATCCCGGTGCACAGTCACAGGTTCCATCCTCAGGGGAGCAGGATCCCCCGTTCTCACAGCTGCAGGAGATGGAGCAGTTGGGTCCCCAGCGGCCCTGGGTGCAGATGTTGTCACAGTGGATGCCTAAGGATAAATAAATATATAAGGATATAAAAGATATAAGGTATATAAGGGTAAATAAAGCCACACGTTAGGCTTCCCACAACTTTTACTCCTCTTGGTGATCAAAGAAATGCTTGGCTGGACTGATGCCTCACAGTCCATCAGAGCCAGTGAGGGAGTCTGGGAAGGAAACAGCTCCTCTTTTATCTGCTTAATAAAGTGAAAATTAAGAAAATGCCAGAGAGGTGAATTCTGTGTTAGTGGGCGCCTGTTCAGTCCTCAGCACCATTAAAGAAACTCTGCATGTCATCCAAGAGATGAAGGTCAGGAATTGCTTTAAAGTCACAAAATAGCTCAAATAACTGTCTGGAAATAGGCAGTTGATTGAAGCCTGATTACTTACCTGTTGTGAATTGGAAGACCATAAAAAGAAAAATCAGGATTTTGCACAAACATGTTCAGTATTTGGATTATTGAACACAAGTAAATTCAGCTCTGTTTTGTGTTCTGTTTCCTCTCTGTGCTCTGGTGTTTTGTGCATATGCCCCACATCCACCAAGAGCTGCCCAGATGTGTGTGAATGAACTGAGTTCTGATCCAGCAAGTGGCCACAGGTGAGCACAGACTGAGCATTTGCATGTTAGACAGAGACTGAGACCTGCCATTCCAGCTCCCAGTGCTTCCAGGGTGCTGGTTTGATATTTACTATTATGAAGGGCAAAGCTTGGAAACACTGAAAGGAGCACACAGCCAGAAAACTTAACAGGAGCCTTCTGGCATGGTTTCAAGTGGTTTTGTTTAAAGTGGTGACTTTTAAAAACAGCCTTGTGCCATGGCTTGTCACATCTAAGCGTGATTGAAGGAGCTGATCCTGCACACCGAGAGGCTCTCTCTCTCCACTGGGATAAGGCAGTACCATTACCTGCAGTTAGCAGGGTTATTTGTATGATCAAGGATCCTTGGATGGGTTTGCAGGATCATGAACTAAGAGGGACATTGAGCAGTGCCAGCTGCAGGGAGTGGCACTGGCAGGAGCACTGATAACAGCAGCAAAAATGGATCAGAAACTGGCCTGGAAATGTTCCTAAGAACACAACCCCAGCACCAGCATGGCCCCAAGATCAGGGGTAACACACACCCCAGCTGGGCTCCAACCCCAACCTGAGATGTTTTTACCATCCCCAACCTGAGATGTTCTTTATCACCCATGCACATGTCCCGCTGCACAATGGGATCAAAGCAGCCCAGGGGCTGGATTAGCACAGAAACACAATCCCAGTCCTTTCCTCCCACTCTGATAACTTCATCTGGATGCTAGAGGTAATGCACTGCATTTGGGGAGCTGTGATCTGTACGGTCACCAAACTTTGAGGATTATTAAATCAGCTAAAAGTCATTATAAACACACTTACAGTGCAGTTTCAAGTCGGTTTTATAAATCTCTGAAGTTAACACAGTAAGAAATACTGCAGAGCCAAAATTTCCCTTTTCTGAAGATTAATCACACAATTATAGTGTCCCTTCCTAGAAAATCTTAACCAAGTCTGGCAAAAGTACAGTTTGAAATGTGATTTCTAGTAATACATGATCTTAGCTTATTTATAAAGAGGCATGGACTATTCTGTACAGCTTAATAAAAACCACATTAAAATACAGTAAAAACTTAATTCAAGCTCAATTCCTTCATATCAAGTAAATAAATCTGAAAAAAGGGACTGTGAAAAGAGACAAGGAACATTTGTATTAATAAAATCAAGAAAAACAATTATTTTAAGGAGTCTTCCCTGCTCCCTTTGAAATTAAATATATCCTTGGATTACTTAAACAAGTGCTTTGTATGTGCATTTATGTATTGTATCCACAGCTCTCCGTAATTAAAAAGTCAGACAATAAATTGGAAATAAATAAATGTGTTTTGTATTTATAAATACATATATATGATCATTTATAGCCTTGGGTCTCAGCGTGAGCTTCCTGAAGTGAAATTCAGACACAAACACAGAAAAAGGTGCATTTTTCCTCCTGACTGCAGCATTAAAATTACAAATCTGTCATTGTGGATGGGCTATTTATAAACAGGGACAATTAAACAGCATTATTTTGTCTCTTTTGACAAAGTTTGGGGAAGAATGACGCTGACTCTTTTCTTGTGGAAGGTACCTGAATTAGAATGCCAGGGCTGTTCCTTGCAGCAGCAAAGTCCTTCCTTTGGTAATGAGTAATGAGGGATGTCTTCCCTCTCCTAACGAAGGCAATGAGTCACTGTGGAGCTGATTGTTGTAGCAAAATGGAAAGGGGGAAAAGGAAACTTTCCAGAAGCCACTGCCACTCGTTACAGCCCTTATTTATTTATACATTTCCAGAAGACAATCGAGATGGTGCCACAATCAGGTTTTATTGCTTTTTATTACCCTAAGTTAATTCTCATGGAAGACTTCATTTTTGAAGGCTCCTACACACATTGAATTGCAAATATAAATGAGAAGTTAAAATTGCATCTGGACATACAAGTCTTATGGAATTGTGCTGGAAAAAGCACCTTAATTTTACAATTCCCTAACCTGAGAGCATGTAAAGGGGGAGTCCATCCCTCCCAGCTACTTTATAGTCAAAGTCAGTGAAGCAGCAAGATTCTGTAATGTAAAACTTTAATATTTATTTAGGAACTTGCTGATGAACATTTCTGATAAGTAATTAGTTTTCAATTTCCAGAACTACAAAAACTGCTGAAGTTGACACACCTCTGTATTACCTCGTGTTACAACCACAGATTCCTAATTTATGAACAAAGTCCTGGTTTCACATGAATTGTGTAGAAATTAGAAGGACAACTATCAGAAGTCCTTGAAGCTGCAGGAAGCAGTTTTATACATAAACTCTACTGCCTGGATACCAGGGAATTATCTGCCAGCCTGAGGCTGTGGTTCACAATTGCAGACACTGGTATAAAATTACACTTCCAAGACCTTTTTAAACAATGTTCTGGGGGATGAATTGTAAATGAAATCCACATAACTTATATAAATTATATTAAACTGTAGTTATCCACTGGACATGGGCAAGAAATCTGCACTTTTGCTGTAAGGCAGAGCCCAGGTAAGAGCAGAGCCCACTGTGGCTTTAATTCAGTCTGTGAAACAGCAGCCAAACTCTCCATGGCCCAGCAGGGATTTGGGATATTGGATTTCTGAAACACTGGCTGTTCTCCAGTGGGATTCCCTTTGGGCTGCTCTGTACATGGCATTTAGCTGACAGTCCCAGGAGTAGCTTCACTCCCCTTTCCCCACACCAACCTCCTCTGCACACAGCGTGGGGAGGAAAAGCAGCCCTAAGGGCCTGAATTACTGTGGCAAACAAACTGGGCTGAACTGAGCCCAGCAGAGCAGGCACAACTGCAATGTTCTGAGGGACAGCCACACAGGAGAGCTGCTCCAAACTCCTGCCCCTCCAGGACAGTTTCCTACCCAGTGGCCAAGCAGCTGCTGTCTGGGACATGGGGAGCAACTGGGGTAACTGAGCCCAGACTTCCCAAGGGTGAAGCCATTTGGCTGGGCAGGGATCTTCCAATGTGGAGCTGCAGATAATCCTGATAAAGGAAAGCAGCAGGGAGAGAGGTAGAGGAGGAAGAGAATCCCAGAATCCCAGAGTGGTTTGGGTGGGGAAGGGATCTTAAAGATCATCCAGATCCATCCCCTGCTATGGGCAGGGACACCTTCCCCTATCCCAGGGTGCTGCAAGCCCCATCCAGCCTGGCCTTGGACACTTCCAGGGATCCAGGGACAGCCCCAGCTTCTCTGTGCCAGGGCCTTCCCACCCTCACAGGGAACAATTGCTTCTCAATATCCCATCTAACCCTGCCCTCTGGCAGTGGGAAGCTGCCACTTCTATCAACTGCTGCTGGCAGTTGACAGAAACCTGTGCCTGTCTTACATGGAGCAGCTTCAAAGTTTGACCAGATGAAGTCAGCCCTTGTATTCAAATTTACAAATCAAGCTGTGATGGATTAATCCAACATCCACACAAGCATCAGGAAAGGAAGCAAGAAAAAGAAGAGGGAAAAAACCCCCAGGCCATACAAGTGGGATGTGAGGCATCTATTGAACAGCTTCTTCACAGGCTGCTTCCATTAATAATCTTCAGTGGCTGCAAGAAAGTTTGTCAAAGTAATGCAGATTTAGTGCTGCCCATAACTGCATCACACTGAAGGACTTTGGAGGGTAAAATTCCTGAAAGCCAGACATAAGCAGAATTCCCTTTCTTCCCTCTCCAGCTTCTGCAATTGCACTTGTGCTTGGGGATTACGTCTCTGGTTCTTAATAAAGATGCCATTGTTTCTCTGCTGTGTCTCTGGATAGTTGGAAACTAATACTCCAAACACAATAGAAGAGCAAAAAAGGATGGAATAAACGAGAAGCAGTGGTCTGTTTCTGACCACTGCTATCCCCCTGACAGCAGCCTCTGCAGCAGTGCCTGAACACTGCCCAGCATCTAATTATTTTTCAGGGATGTAGGAATTTGATAAATTATAGGACGTAGTTCCCTTCCCCCCACATACTTTAATTTTACATCTACCAGTGTATAACTGCAATTATTTCTCTGAATAAGATCTTCAGCTTTTTTTTTTCCCCTCAATAGTCCCAATCTAAAGACAGATGCAACATCAATTAGGAATGACAGGAATGATTTCATCAGACATTTGAATCCAACACAAACATTGTGCTCTCCTCCACCTGTCTTTCAACATGACATGAAGTCATAATAATCTCTTATTTCTGGCATTTGAATAGCTTTGGAAAGAACTGCTTTTCATGCAAAAATAGGCACTGGATTTTTACAGGCAATGCCACAGAGGCCTGAGGTTTGGTGAGTCACGCTTGGCTTTGATGTGGAATGCTGGTGGCTCGTGTCCCTGGCAGGATGAATCCTCAGAGGTGGTTTGTACCTGCACCCTCCACTGATGCTGCAAGGCTGCCTGGGGTGGGTGGGAGGCTGTGGGCAGGCCCAGCAGGGAGTAGAAGGTA